ACTTTGTCTGTATGTTGTCTTTCATTACTGAGATAACAATAAGTTATCTTGAGTTTGTCATATGGTCATAACCTTTGAATCACTTTCTATAACCAATTCATTCTCAACAGGTATATTTCAATTTCACTTATATTATACTCACTGAAACTGAAAAGAAATCGAAATCGGAATCCAGATAACAGGTGAGGTAGCAGGTGCAGTACTTTTCCAAAATAATGAACTATACTTTTGAATGCCGTAACTTGGGTTAGGAACTTCAATCCACGATCGAATACGAAACAAAAGGAACTACTCTTTATACTATTGATACAATTCTTTCTCTTTAGATGGGTATCATCACAGGTAATGTCCCTGCTGAATTTACATTTTTAATTTCAATTTTGTGTCAGGTGCATTATGCTTCGGCAATTTTTTTTGTAATTCGGACTTTTTACTTACATGCTATTGTTTGTTCTTTTGTGGCACCCATTTCATAAAAATAATCTGATAGCAAGGGAGATGTATGATGAAATAAGTATGAATTTCCAGTTATATCAGATGTTGTGAACCAAAAGTATGAGTGTGGTACATTTTTATGGTACTAAATCTCAATTTCTAGCAAAAAACTCTTGGAAATTCAACGTATTCAATTGTAAATCCATAATCTCTAATTAATTTATCAAATTTGAAATATTCAGTCGAAAATAAAGATGAAGATATAAATAAATTGGATCTGGGTCGATATATTATGACTGAGAGAAATGAATACTATGAATTTATTCGAAAGTTGATTTTTTATTCGTTAGTAAAATTTGTATATCGCTTCTTCAAAGTTGGGAACCAACTCTCCAGAAGTCGAAATTTATGCGTACGTTAAACAACTCAATTTTAACGTACATTGTTTTCTCATTCAACAGTACTTGGAAGTGAAGAGTATTAGAATATTATATAGAGCATAGAGCGATGAAAAGAACAATCAACAATGTTTACTTTCAGATCTTCTCATATCTATTAAAATTATGTCTATGTCACATACCACAAAATGTTATGAACCACTTTATTTCGTTCTACTGCTATCATATCGTTTTATATCTTTACAATAACCATCAATTCTTCGAATTGCCCAAGAACAATGAGTTCGGAAATATAAAACATCGTTTCAAATGCTGAACGATAAAATTCTTGTGGAAGGTAGAATACGGATTTTTTCACAAATAATTGACGTTTACTGTTTTGTACCGATAATAATGTCTACGATAGGAATTGATGACCGATCCTGCCTCAGATATCAACATGGAATTGAGATAACAAGTGTTCAAAAATGAATTTTTGTAATTTCGTACCAATATGGTGAATGTAGCAGAAGGTTTTATTTAGACACTTTGAAGTGTCAATGTAGAAAGAAACATTTTGGTTTTGAAAACTATATGTTATAGAGGTTTCTCCATTTTCAATATAAACAGTAGCAGGGCCGGATTAACCTTATTAAGGCACCTTAGGCAATGCAATTCTCGGGGCCCCTTTCCTTTTCTTATACTCTTTGAAATACATTTTTTCTATCACAATAGTCGAGTCGAGCAGATCGACTTCTTTGGTATACTGTTACTTCAATCTCATAAGGTTACCTTGACTTGATGCAACAGCATCAACCCACTTGCCTGACCTGCTTCTTGCTTTCTTTGAAATTCGTTCGATGAAACGGTTTTTTTTTGTCCTTATCGATGCAAAGATCCTAGGCAGTTGTCTAATCCGCCTTATGGATAATCCGGTCCTGACTTTTACTCACTGAATTTTACAGCCGTTTATATAAGCCTTCTGTCTTTTTCGATTGCAGTCGCCTGCCATACGAAACTGATACACTCTGTATATGTGTACACAATAGTCGATTGACTGATGTTAGATTATCGTATCACTGAAATTTCTTTTTTCGAGGACATTTCAAAATACGATTGTAGAGAGTGCTGGAATATTCATTAATCTTAGTGGTTCATGAATGAATGAAGAGCAAAATGAAGTGAATTAAGTAATGGTCGTATGGAATGAAGTCGAAATCGATAGCCATTGTTTTCAGCAATCTACTAGTTGTGATTCTCAATGTTCACGAATTACATCAGTATAAATGGTAATTGATTTACCATGTATATAACTGTCAATATATTAACAAGCCTTTTAATCGTTTGATTCAATTTTATACCATGCAATTCGAATTTCAACTAGATTGTCTATAAATTCTAGTGATTTTCGATGATTTTCTCGTTAACTAAGTAGCATTTAGAACAAATAACTCGTAGGGAAGGTTTATCAAGAATGATAAAGACAAAACTTCTAAATTAGAAAAATTCAGGGGTATACAAACTCAACTGTCAATCTTGTCCTAAGGGATATATCGGTCAGGCAGGTCGTGCGTTTAATGAGCGCATTCATGAACATAAGATGAATTTTTTGAAAAAGAGAACAAATTCAACATACGCCATACAAACTCAAAAACTTTGACATTTTACTTAACGATCAATTAGACCTCAAAAGTTCACCACTGTCGAATTTGTTTTCTTAGTATAGGTGATAATATGTATTTGCTATCAAACCTTTCAAGTTAATCCGGTACACCGTATTTTAATGTAGATATTGTGCCTAATTTCCGAAAATGGAGATTTATCGAACCTTTCCACAGGTAACTAATCCTTCTGGTTGGGAAAGTAGGATATATAAGCAAGCCAAAAGGTTAGTTTAGTTCATCGTACCAGTATATCACCTGACGAAGCTACTGTGTTAGCGAAACATGTTGTGTGTTTGAGAATTTTGTGGAAATCTTATCGTTTGTGAAGTTTTTATATCTTATTATTGTTCATAATCACTCGGGTCCCCGGCCAGTGGAAATCGGCCCCGCGCCGCCACGGCTCGAGTGTCGATGACTTGCAAGTTGAAAGCAAAGCAATGCTATTCCGATCCATATGAATTTCTATTGATCAGCGCAATTGCTTTGCTTTCATTTAAAATGGAATGCTTATTCGCTCACACAGAGTAGATCGGCAATAGCGGCGGCACAGCGGGTGATTTATATTAGTTTCAACGGATTGTATTGTATTATTATGAGTTGTGAGATAACTCAGACAGTATAGTAGATCAATTCAAATAATATAAATATTCACATATTTTTTATGGAAGGGAAGTCGTTGCTGACCACTAGGAATGAAACCAGTGTATATTGGGGGTAGCAGCAGTGTAAAAGGAATACTCTTTAAAGTTTATCCAAGCTTTCTTCGGAAATGTTTATTTCCATCATCAGGAATAATCTTTGGTGGGGTTGGTTACAACGTTGTTAAAAGTATAATATTGTAAAATATATGATGACATACTGTGCAAAATTGCTTACGTGGACACATAGGACACTAACATTTGTATAATTACACTTAACAGTTACTTATTTATTGTAAATTTGGAATTTTAAAATTTGTTGAAAAAAATGAGGGAAAAGTTGCAAGTCACATTTCTCACCTCAACCTCACCAAAGATTATTCCTGATGATGGAAATAAACATTTCCGAAAGCTTGGATAAACTTTAAAGAGTATTCCTTTTACACTGCTGCTACCCCCAATATTCACATATATATCTGCAAAAGAAAAGTGTGCAAAAGACTGTGTACTGTGTATCGATAATTAGAATTTTTCTGGGGTAGGCAATGCTTCTATGCTTCTATTGTACACTGAAATTCCTATTAACCATAGTCAGAAATTGAATTACCCCAACAAGAAACTCTAATAGCATAGGGGACAAGCGAGTTATCACTTGTGATTATAAAGTCGACTTTGCTGATCATAACCCACCTGCGATTATTTGATATAGAACCTTGCTACCACTAGCGAGTGCATCTGTATATTGCTATTAAACGATGTTTATGTAGTAGGTATCTGACTTTGTCCATCTAATAATGGGAGTAGGGCAATGTTATAATCGTAGGTATATGAATAGCAATTCATTGATTCCTGAAGAAAATTTCGGACCAATGATCTATGAAATTCAATAGATCAATTGATTCATGCACCCTCAGGAAAAACAAAAGGTTTCTGAGTAATTGAAGAAGAAAAGAATTTTTGTGAAACTGTATGAAACCATTGTATTACGTAAACTAGGCAAGTTATTACAGATGCGTACAGGAAAACAAAATGTTACCCGTAAAATCATTCAAATAATTTCACAACCTGAAAATGTTTGCTCACAATTAGTTTTGAGACTATACATTCTATATAGAAGCCCTGGAACAGATTTGACAATTTTGAAGTTTCATGGTACCAGAAAAAGGAAATGTTGAATGTGAAATATTTGAATTTTAGTCGAAATACCTCGAAAAAACTCACCTTTATCATTCCATCAATCCTGGTGATAACTGAAGCACTCAGATCTAAGCAAGCACTGAAAGGGACACAGAAGATTTTTTAATTTGTTTAAAAATGTTTCCATTTTATATTTGAATTCAGATTCAGATTTCAAATAATGAATTGAATTCAAGGGGGAAAGTATTCGTGACTGCCGTGTCGTCGAGATTGTCGTCCTGTACATGGGTTTGCATCAAGAGCCCAACTGTGAATGATTGATCAAGCAAGATGTTTGACAAATCAGCAAAATATCGAATAATGGCGCTAAATAACCCCAAGTAAGATCGTCAAATATTATTTTCGTGGCAGACTGACAGTTGTGTTATTGGTAGTGAGTGCAGTTCTATGCGATGAACCTCGTAGCCACAAGCATATAACATAACTCACTAGACAATTATAAAAAATCATGCTATCCCAGAGTGGCTGCCTGATAGCGACAGCAGTATACCTTCCTGTGGCAGGAAATTCACTTTCAGCAAAGTCGTTATTGCTATCATAAGATTTCAAGGTGCTGCATCTATTCGAAAATGTATAACGGTAATATGATTTCTCGTAATGGTAGCAAGAAATATCTCAGCAAACACTCTAATAGCACAATTTTCCTCAGTGTATGCATGCCACTGATCTGAACCCCTCCATTGTTCCAGCGATGGCAACCTCCTGGACAACCTCCTGGCCCGAATGGAGCAGTACGCCTCCAACCTCGAGGCCCTCGTGGACGAACGCACAGCAGACTACCTGGAGGAAAAGCGCAGGTGCGAAGAGCTCCTCTACCAGCTGCTGCCGAAGAGCGTGGCTAAGCAGCTGATCCAGGGCGAATCGGTGATCGCGGAGACCTTCGACAGCGTCACGATCTACTTCAGCGACATCGTGGGGTTTACTGAGTTGTCTGCAAGGAGCACACCTCTCGAGGTCGTGGAGCTGCTCAACGATCTGTACACGTGCTTCGATTCGATCGTCGAGGAGTTCGATGTGTACAAAGTGAGTTTTATCCCCGCAGAAAAACATTTTTGGTTGATTCAAGTTCTCGTATTTCCTTATGTATGCTGATGATCTTAAAATATTTCATACAGTTTTACTCTTGAATGATTGTATGTTCATTCAAGAGGACCTTGATAGCTTCTTAGAGTACTGCAGAAATAACGTCCTCTTCCTGAACAAATGCCATCAGATTACTTTTTGTAGAAACTCTAATTCAATTACTCATTAGATCTATGCTCATAACTATACCATGCAGGATCATTATCTCCAAATCTGTAGTGAAGTGAAGGATTTGGGAATTATTTCTGATTCAAAAATGGCTTTCAATAAACATATTTCTTACATTTCTAAGAAAGCGAACAGAATGTTAGGTTTCATTTCAAGAACAACTTATCCTTTCAAAGATTATAATACCTTGCGTACCCTTTTCATTTCATACGTGAATAGTCTGCTAGGCTTCGGCTCATCATATACACGAAACAAATAGAAAGTATTCAGATCAAATTCATTGCTTTGAAAACCTAATTTGATAAGTCTTGCTGACAGAAGAGCTATCGCCGATATCAAATTCTCTTTCAAAATTATAAATGGAATCATTCATTCCTCATCTATAAATAACTTAATCCATTACAATGTTCCACAATATTCCACTCGTTATTATAACTTGTTCCATACATCTATACCAAACACAAATTACTATCTTAACTCCCTTTTACATCGATGCTTGAAAAGTGATAACTCCATTTCAAACATGATAGAGATTGATATTTTTTCCGGCTCTTTAACAATCTTTGTGGACAAACTCAAGAAACATTTTGTTCCAGCATCCAATTGATGATATGTTAAAATTTTGTTTTCATAATATATATAAAATCTTTGCACTGTATAATGGAATTGAATACCTAACAACATGACATACTTAGTATACCTATATGTGAATACTGTCTCTGGGTTCGTTCTGTTTGTATTCCTGTTTGTGAAAATAAATAAATGAAATAAAATAAAATAAATAAAATAAATCCCTTATGTGCAGGAATTTGGTGAAGAAGGTTCGATTTTGATATGGGGCCAAGTGCGCAATAAATATTGTCGCAACTCAGATGTTGACCCTCCTATGGGTCGTAACTTAGCTACTCGCTGACTTGATGAGAGATTTCGATCATTTCACCACCCAACCATATTCATCCCCAAATAAAGACTCATGACAGTTTTCAAATAAAATTGACATTCATTGATTAAATGGAAAAGTCATGAATAAATGCTGCCACATGGTAGGTTAGCAGAGAAAAACCATAGTGAATTGCCAATTGAAGCACAAAACTATTCAGAGAGAAAACATGAAAAATAGTACTGACATTATGACGTCTAGCAGGGGGTTGACCATCAGGATCGAAGTCGGGGAGACGGTGAACATTTTGGCAGCAATTCGTGAATTACTGATTCAAAAACGTAGTCAAGTACCGGAAATGTAATAAATGAGTTATCGAATGTGTTATCGAAATGCATTATGTATCGAATGAATGAATCAGAGTTATTGAATCGACGAATATGAATCAATAAAATGACTGAATTGAATTATGACCATGCCTTATCGATTCGGGTACTATTCATATTTGAAATCGATTCTAGGTTAGCCATTTTTCGCGATGGAAACGGCCGTTACTTGCCAGTATTGCTTACCTAGGTAGTTTCGCACAGTAAGCGTTTTGCAAATATTACAGGAACTAAAATCTATGAACTCCGCTGACCGGAACGCAACTTCACTGTACTGGATGTTTAAATTTGGAAAGTTAATTCATGATTAAAGATCCTGAGATGAACGGAAATTTGAATATTGTTATTCCATAGGCATTTGCCCTACCTGACAATATCACCGATATTACCGCTATGGATTTAAGAAATAATTCATTCATTCTTGAGCCATAGTGCCTGTGACTGAGAATGCTACGAAGTTGACTGTGAGGAGAACGCCTCTTCAAGTCTTGGAGTTGCTCAACGATCTGTACAGGGTGGCAGGAAGCAGGAACCGTAAGAGATACAGGGTCGGTTATATCATTACAAAATTGACCAATTATATTCGTAACAAGATGTCGTTTTGAAACTTGGGAAATTCCCAATTCTTTCGGAGATATACGAAAAAAAACCTTCATTTTTTTCCAAGTTATTTGAAGAAATTATTCGAAAGGAATGACACTATACTATGACCACTTTTTCTTCCCTACAAGTGAAAAGCCAAAGGCGCTTGATTATATTCTGTAATGCTCAATATTATTGTAGTTTCCAATAATCATAAATAAAAATGTGTTTTGAAAAAACAATTTGTGTCCCATTTTTGATACACCACTGGCTGCAGTTGGTATATTGAAAACTCTCGAATCTGATTACGGTCCTGGAGAACAACTTGCGGATGCAAATTTCGCCCATCTTGATGCCGCGATATTTTACTCTTGGAAGATATTTTCTCGCCCTACAAGTTCAATCGGCTAGATGATCACTTCTCGAGTCGATAAGGCATGACATTTCCTCCGCAAAAACCAATACATCTGGGGGCGTTTCTCCCGGTTCATCCACTTGTCCGAGATGGTCTTTTTCTAAAACGTGTTTGTTTTTGTGTCGGTTATTAATTTATTCAGTTATTCGAATTAACAGCTCCAGCTCATATGTTTGCACGAAGGACACATTTCCAAACTTATGATATTCATCAGAAAAAACTGCTCATACGCATTAATCACTCCAAGCTAATATAACTAACAACACTGGTACTGGTACTAGTACTGGTGGGGGACGTTTGCACGTCTGCAACTAGTCCCTAATGGAATGGGACCTTTTTGCAAGCCCCAAGGTGTTTTTAATGAGTGATGTGGTTCGCTTGAGAGAGCTGGCTAACATCCTTTTTCAGGCACAGCCCATCAGCTCTCTTTCAGAGTTTTTCGGCTGTGTTTTGTTGGCTAGTAATGTACTCACTACCATATGATGGCCTGCCAGCTACCTCGTTAAAATAACCCCCGGAGACCGAGGTCCAGTAAGCAGCATTGGCCCGCTCTCACGCTCAGCTGGTAGTTTTCCACACCCACCTACATACACCGTCCTACTTCTTCTCTGATGCTCACAAATACATCATCATCTCTTTCTGCGTGTTCTGTGTAGGCTTTGTTACTAACTCCATGCGCCACTTTAGGAGCAGCACTGTTAATTGGAACGCAACAGCGAAAATATTGAAAAAAGTTCCTCGCTCTGGCTGGGAATCTGGCGCTCTTCCACACTAACAACTAAGTACCTATATACTCTACATAATCTCTCCTAAGAGCTTAATAATTTTTCATAATAACCATGGAGATTACAATATTTTGAATCATCAAAAACGCGGAATAAGTGTGGCGTAAGGAACAACAGTCTACTTACTCAAAGTGTGCTCCGCGGAGCCCTGGTGCTCCGCAAAGCTTCCGTTAGGGCTCCACTAAGTGCCAAGTGAGTTACTTAGTCACCTCAATCTCAGTGAAACAGAAATATTTCAAACGAAAAAATATCTCAATGATCAGCAATGGACTTTTGAATCTTACTTTCCTGAAGGGACCTGAGGAAGGAATAGAATACGAAACTGAAAATAAACTGATGGATTCAAAACCCTATTCCATCAAAATTGCAAAAGCCTGAAGAAATGACATGGGACACAAGCATGGAATCATTGGTGAAAACAATTTCACTAAATGACTTCCGGTGCAGAATTTATGATGGTTAACCACAGAGCCACAGAGGCTTCGAATTTTCTTCTGCCGTTTCCAACAACGTATCTTTGAGGAATGGAATTTTCAGCATATACAGCTACAGACACGAAATATCTCAATGAACTGGATGCCGAACCAGACATGAGAATTCAACTGTTTTTGTCCAGCCTGACTTTACCAAGTTGATGAGAAATGGAAAACAATGTCATGCCTCCCATAAATTAACTTAGTGTTATAATTTGCTAACTAACTCACTACTTACTGTATCAACCTTTTTTTGTATGATTATTGAGAATCTACACACTGGTTTTGCTTCTAGTTCAGGATTTAGGGTTCCGTTAAAAATTCAGATTCTTCGAAGGGTTCCGTCACCAGAAAAGTTTGAGAGCCGCTAATATATAGGTACTATCTGAACTATACCCCCTTTCTCTATGTCTATCATCAGATACATGCTTATTCATGAGTTTAAGTATAGAACGCCGCAAGATTCTTGTTTTGAAAATGAGGAAAATAATAGAAATTTGGTAAAAAATATCTTTTGGTTTCCTGATTTTTCCGTTTCAACACGAACGGAGTTGAATGCAGAAAAATCGTTCACCATTTCACTGTCTATTCTAAGAGGATTCTCGAAAGAACCCTTCACATAATATGAATCTAATACAATCTAACATTCATATTAACTCGACACCACTGTTTACTATACCATGAAATACACCCAATCCGAATACAACAGAAAATGGAAAGTTAGAGATATACAACGGGAAGCATTAGGATAGTAGCCATAGAACTCGATTGAGTTTTGGGGTTGTCACTGATTTTGTAACATCTGCAAAACAGTATGTACACACAGTGCGGAACATCTTGATCCCAGAAAGCAATATTTTTCAGATGACAATAATGTTTTTATACGGATCTGGTAAAATATTGCCGGCAGATAGGATTTTCAACGAGTGGATGCACGCTCTAGGTACCCGTACTTCTGATTACAAGCCAATCAACAGATCAACACGACTTATCCTATTCCACAACAAGATAATATTCAATTTGCCACCAATACTACAAAAACAAGGCATTCAACCTCCATAGGTGTGTGAATACTTATGCATTTATCTAGACTACTATAGAGATTAGGTATAGTTGATTCCAACGATCGCATCACGAAAGTAAACAAAAAGTGGTTACAATGAGAAGCAAACACTTCACTTAATACAAAGACTCCGACAATGACCAATAATTCAAACGTGCAGCCTAGAAAATAATGAAAATCCTCTCTAGTGATATACCTCTATTTCATGGAAAACGTTGAATGAACCCATTCTCCGATCGTTCCCATGGTTTCCATCGCGCATAGGTATAATTTCAAATCTGATATAATATAGGTAATCTAGTAGAAATATCATAAATTCTAATATCTTTGCAAATGTTAATACAAATACCCATCAGTTGAATTTTTTTCCAACTAGATGTAGGAAGCTAATGAGAAAAGAATACACTTTCGTGTTTTCCAGGATGCTAGTTTCATGTGAGCTAAAATGAGTCGTCCAGGTAACCCTCAAGGGATCTCTGGAAAGAAGTCGCAGCTATATACATTCGTTTTCTATGATGGTCTTCATCGACTATGTATTATTGAGCTTTTATTCGAAATTCTTAACCGGATTTCAGATTCAATTTATCTTGCGAAGCATTGGAATGAATTGAGAATAATTGCATCAGAGAATAGTGAAGCACCGAGATATACAGTATGATCCATATCATTCCAAAAAATGCACTTCAATTTTGTGTGAAATAATGTCACTTTGGTCCTGAAGTCCAGTTTTCCATACTCTCCAAGTACAGGGTCTCTATAAACGATAGCAGCATCGTAGTGACCGTTGAAATATTTTATTGATTTGCCTCTTACCACTTATGGAGATCGAACTGTAACAGCGTCCATGGTCGCTTCAATGCCTACTAACAACATGAGCAGAGAGCGGCACACGGAAAAACCATTTCAACATGATTTCAACGGCCACCACGATCGATCACTATAAGTCATCGTTTATGGAGCTTTTACTATCACTATGGATTTTCATCAGGTCACACAAATATGAAGACCACCAAGTATATTATTATGAATATGTCAATAACTGGGATTTCCAGTACTTCAATTTGGCATTGGCAACCTGCTAATTCTTATCTACCCTTGACCATCAGAATCAGAATCTAATCTCAGACTTTATTGTAGTCAACCCACGTAATGATTCCATGACGTGACAACATTGACATGTTTAACTTCTGACATCTTTTCACCAAAAACCGAGCCGAGAAAACAGTTCAGTAGCTTTCAACAATTGTAGACTTCTTTTCTTTACGTAATAATGTTCCCGAAATTGAATCATTATCGTGATATTTCCCATACTACTCTCTGAATTAGCAAAGGAATTAGAATTATTCATCTTCGAGGAAGCATGAAAATTCAGGTTGTGGAAGTGTATTTTCTCCATATTATAAAGAAATCGTCTCTCATGGTGAAATTTCAGAACGGAGAGAACTCAAGCAAATTTCCAATCGACAGTCATATTGGATTCAGACGTACCTTCGAAAATATGTGGATATTTAGCAATATTTCTATATCGGAAGAGCTATCGATTTAATCAAAAGTGCTCGGGGCTCGTGAAGCGAATCCATAGTTATTCACCTGGAAAAATGAATCGACTACAAGCAATGAATGAATTTGAATATACTTTATACGAATAGATACACCAGTCCCACTGACCAATTTTCAGTCAAAACTCATTCATGAAAAAATGTTGGGAAATAATATTCATATATACCTAATATGCATGTATATGTGTACATCTACGGTCTATACGTGTTGCTCATAAATGAATTGATTTTCAATTAATTCAATTTATTAATTTTATTTTAATCATGATATAATAGGAAATATTGGGGAATTCAGTCAATCGGGCTACAAGCAAACTACTTTATTGCTTTGCCGAGCTTTCGAAAATTTTTATTTTCTTCTCCAAGATCTGTACACTCATACACTTCCTCATTTTTCAAACTCACTCAATCAAAGTCGAAACTTGCAATACAAAAATGCAATATCACAATAAACAAATTCAATATGATAGAAGTGTCAAATTGATTTTCGTTCAGATTCAAATATACTGTCCGTGAAATACTCTGTTATACTTTTGTAACCTAAGATCATGTAACACATCGATTTGAATCGAGACTTAGAGGTAGACCGATTGCAACACAATTTTAAGAACGACGCTCTCAAATATACGAAGGCGCTGAAGGCGAAGTCGGGGGTCCGAGATTGAAAGTCGAGGGTCCGAGATTAAAGTCGGGATTCCGAAACTGAAGTTAAATATGTGGACAGAAATAAATAATTTCCATTGTTACTCATCAGTTTGACGTCAGCAACATGCTCCTGAATTTTCTACATGTACTTGAGAAACACCCTGTACATTTATGTACGAACAATAATTTTACATCCATTGGATAATCATCACATCAGGATCAATCGAAATCCTCCTTTTTGGATGTACACTGAATGTAAAATAATGGATCACACCTGTACATTATCGTACGTACAGGGTGCTTGTTTATATTTTACTCAATAGCTGAGAATCTCATTGTTGAATAGATACAAAAAAAATTGGGAGAATCGGAGTTGTGATGATTATCCAATGGATGTGAAATTATTGTATGTACATATATGTTTATCGGTAGGTACGTACATATAAAAAGTGAAGATCGAATGTTCACAAAAGTTCTGTAATAAAGGTTCCATCATACTCTCTTTTTTCATTTCGCGATTCGCATTTGTTTGTTCAAAGGGTGCAAAAAGATTGTACAAATGAAACCCTACAACTTTCATATTTGAAGTTTTCTCCACTTCGTATAGTTGAAGATGTAGGTAGGGATCAAAATATAAAGAGACATCCTGTACAGGTGAGACCCCCGACTTTAAAGTCGGGATCCCGAGAATAAAGTCGGACCTCCGACTTTGAAGTCGAGATCCCGAGATTAAAGTCGGGGGTCCGAGATTAAAGTCGGGATCCCGAGATTAAAGTCGGGATCCCGAGATTGAAGTCGGACCCCCGACTTTGAAGTCGGGATCCCGAGATTAAAGTCGAGGGTCCGACTTTGAAGTCGGGATCCCGAGAATAAAGTCGGGATCCCAAGAATAAAGTCGGGATTCGAAAAAAAAAGTATAGGTGGCCCTTCAGCGCCTTCGTACAAATATAAACGTTCGTGGATAAAATCATATATATCTTGGGAGCAAAGGTTCATTTCCTCCCATGTGTGTAGCCCTCCGCTACGCGTCGGGCATCAACTCCACACGCGGGAGGAAATAAATAGCTATTATTTTTATTATCATCTGATATGAAACCCTCTTCGCGTTGTCCGTCTATTTCGATTTCCTCCAATTTCACAAAAACTGACCGATTCAGCTCGAACTTGTTCTGATTGTATTCTTTCTACTCATAGAACAGTGAAAACATTCTCGATGCGCCACAAATTAACTCGATCTGCGATATTTTTCGAGCGAATTGACTGATTTTGCTCGGGTTTCAGGTTTGTTTCCATATACCAAGACTCAGCAAATTCGTTCTTTCGCATCTACTCTATTTGAATAACAAGTCCTCTTCAACCCCTTTATCTCCCCAAACGTGTTTCAAAATGTAGTTAGCTAACGAATACGCTCATGTGTTTATTCTCACAATCCCTCCATGTAGTATTGATGGAATATACCAGAGGTGTCCCAGTAAACCTGTTCTAATGGGATAATCATTTCAAACATTTTTAACCTTCTATTTGAGTGGAATAAAAATCAATGGGGGTTTGACCAGAATAAATGACCCAACTTTTCTATGTCAAATGGCACCCAGTATAAATATTTCACCTGATGGAAATGCAAGAAGCTGGTGTTTTACTAAAATCATGTTGCCTGTTTTCAAGATAAAATTTACATGCAAAGGTTAACGTGTGGAAATTGGATTCGCGATCCTGAATAAAAAGTCTACTTATAAATTCATTATTTATTTTCAATCGCCTAATACTGCAGCCTTCCTTCTAGGTTGAAACAATTGGAGATGCGTATATGGTTGTTTCTGGTCTGCCAGAAAGGAATGGTAATTCGCATGCTGGAGAGATAGCCAGAATGTCTCTGGCTCTGTTGGAAGCCGTAAGAAAATTTCGAATCCGCCACAGGCCAACTGATCCACTGAAACTCAGAATTGGGATACACACAGGTCAGTGCATTCGAAGAGTACCAAGATTTATGCTAAAAAGTCGAAAAATCAACTCTTGACACTAGGTCACGTGATCACAAACATTTTCATGCCAAAAAGTAGGAAGGGGTAACTTTTTACCTGAATTTTACCCTCAATATAGCTTGTTCGGTTCAAAAGTTAAGGGAGGGGAAGGACTTTTTACGTCCTCACTGTTTAGTGCCGAAATACCAAAATAGCAAGAGTCAAAAGATTGTGAGTGAGATATTTCAAAGAATCATTAAGGGTATACATAACTAGTACTGCGACCAACTTGACAGTTTGGTTTTTAATTTAAGTGGTCATCAATCAGAGCTAACCGATAAGCCACTACACAGCATTCATTATGTTACGCTCAATAGTCGATTTTGGGCAATGCCCAAAAAAAATACGCAAAACTAGTTTTGAGCAACTAATTTTTCCTAAACCTGAAATTCCAACGGTTATTGAGCATTACAAAACTACTTTTGCGGGCCGGTATGACCGACCAAATAGTCCGAGCGAGATATAGCATGTTCTGTAATAATGAGGAAGGAAAATATTGCTTCTGCATAAGAAAAGGGACTAATTTTTCAAACAATCTAACCTAACTCGGCCTAAATCTGGACTGAGGCTACTCTTGACTTGACAAGAGCTCGTCAATATGGTCATTATAATGTAAGTTGTTATTAGGTCTTTATATCCATTGTTGTTTATTCATATTTGTCATAACTACCCATAATGTTACATGATACAATACAAATTGTTATGTTTGAATATAGTCTCGTACCTACTTTCAGGTACGTATACGTACGTATAGTTTCGCAAACTATTAAGCCAAGCATTACCCCTTAGTGGAAATCTACCATATCGTGACAATATTCATTCATAAATGTACGAACTATAGTTTTGTACATTTCAGATTGTTAAAATTTCGGGTTTACGACATATTCGTTGCTCAATACTACTTTTGCGTATTTTTCCGAGCATTGCCCAAAATCGACTATTGAGCGTAGCATATACACTTACAGCAGATATAGATCTAATCTATGCAGCAGAATAACACAAAAATCTCCTGAATATTGGATAGTGTTTATATGATGCCTAGCACCTATGGCCTTGGAATGCATTGATAATTTTCATCAAATAATAGGTCTACATTGAAAATCCAGTCGAATGGCGACATTTTCCTAATGATGCCGTTAGTGTTAGTACGAAACGAACTACTGGCACTGGCTTGCATCTGAGCAAACCATTAAAGCAAACTGATGCGCCTGAAGCTAATTAGGCTATAACGAGATTCCTTTCTTTTCGTTCGCAGGTCCTTGTGTGGCAGGGGTCGTGGGATTGAAAATGCCGCGTTACTGCCTTTTTGGCGACACGGTGAACACAGCGTCTCGCATGGAATCCAACGGAAGCGCGCTGAGGATACACGTCAGCCCAGTCACCAAAGCTGTTCTGGATACGTTCGGGACCTTTGATCTAGAATGCCGGGGAGAAATCGAGATAAAGGTTAGTTTTTGGTGAACGAAACTTTCCTCGCCTCCATAATGCTCTCAGAATTACTTTTGACTTTTTCCCTGTATTGACAATCACAGAAATTAAAATGAAAGTATGATTTGACGCATCTGCATGGGTCCATCAACTATACAATAACAATATAGTTAAATTTCAGCACATTTAAACATATCGGTCAACAGTAAGCATTGGTAAAACTCGTGTCGGGTTTAGAATTCCATTGGAAAACTGGTTCACATAGTTTAGAGCTTAGTGCAACAACTCTCGCACGAGCTCTAATAGGTCGTGCAAAGTCAGTGCAGTTTGAAAATGGCGGAAACATTGAATATGAATAGTTTGAAAACCAAATTGTTAGTGGCAATCCAATCATCATCAAATAGTGATGCAGAGTTGGAGGTTTCAAGAAAATAAAGGAGATTACTTCCCAGAATTCATAATTCTGTTGAAAGTATTTTGCGAATTCAATGATGAAGAGGTACTTATTGAAAAATAAATTGCTCAAAATTATTTCCATGAAACATCTACTCTGTTTTCAATTGAAGTTAAGAAATAATTACAGGATGCGGACAAGTTATAAACAAAGACAAACCAACCGATTCGACCTCCAGCAATAATTTTATAATAATATTATTTCGTATTCCGTTGGGAATGCATCAGTTCACATTTTGGAGAGAACTGAAGTAGTGCGGGTGCAAAACTGGCGCAAAACCAGTGCACCACCAGGTTTACGAATGGAATTCGCTTTAAATAGTAGCAGAACCTTTGAATTTTCATCTAATTTCGGAACGATTTTGGCAGTACTGCTTCACACTGGCAGCAAAACATATAACCATGACCTATGATTTTTCGATTTTCGATGTTTTGTTTCGTTGGTTTTCATTCTCATCATTATCATTATCTTCTTTACTCACGTTAAAATTATGGATGGAGTGATCAATCATATCATCTTAGAAGACATATTTTTTTGTTCTTATCCATCATTCGGTTGCCTCCTTACGAGCAACCCTCAAAAGTCTTCCAGAGACTTGTGTGAGCGAGGAATGACGGGGGTCTTAACTTTTAACGTGTGATCCCAAGCACTTTCTCAGTACATCAGAAAAATTCCTGCGGTCATGGTGGGAATCGAACCCACTTACCGGTAATCCAATGTGGATACTAACTGAAACTTCTATCACGGGGCTATTATCCGATAGTGATTCTTATTCATCAGAAACGCCAAGCTCTAGTACCTCTAGTTCCATTGATGAAAAAATTTAAGCATAACTGTGAAATATTCGATATCAAAAGTGAGAATAACAAACCATCTTGTAGATTAGTGGCAGTTTCAGCGTCTACTGCATGTAATTTTCATCGACTCATACCAAACCATTCGAATGCTTAACCTAAAATTTCAAGAATACTGGCACTACATCACCATTTCTGCACCAGTGGTAACAGTAAACTTTTAGCCTCCTTGTCATGACCCACGAAAACGTTGCCAGTAAATTTCAGTGAAATCGGAACGATAAAATATACCAGGCAGTACTGTTCGGGAATATGGGAACATGCTCACTGCTCAGCATGGCCCAAAAATTTATCAAGTTGCCCCAGGAATTCAAGTTACCCCGTACACGGTAGCAAAATAGAGAACGCTAGTGAAGTTGTTCGTTGATAACACGTGATAACTTCGAAATATACCAGGACCATAATAAGGCCAGTTATATCGGTGACTTTTTGAAATTCTTTATTTTGCAATTTTTATATGGATAATTTTTGGTGATATTGTCCATTTTGATGAGTTCAACATCATGTTGAAAAATATGCTTCTCTTTCTTGTATAGTTCGTTGCCTGTTTAGACGTTATAATTATAATGAATGCGATATGTTAATTTCTTGAGCGCCATTTAATTTTCAATGAAATTCTCTTATAAATTGGATAATTGATTGCAGAAATAAAACACCTAGGAACCTGCTACTCGAGAAAATCTCACCACCTAATTATTCTCAATTCGTGCATGAAACCTCATATTCCAGGGGAATTTCGGTGCTGAACTAAACTGAATATTACTTGTACCTTTTTTTTCAATGGAAAATTTGAAAACAAAAGCTTGGGAGCCGATAAAGTTGAGATTATTGATAGGTGCATGAAATTCACGTAAGATTATAAGTCGAAGACTGAGTCTCTTTATGCGAATAGGTGATGAAGTTACTATATTTGACGTGTGTTTTTGAGATAAAAATAAAAAGTATTTTCGAAATGAACATGAAAGTATTATCTATTACAGTATTATAAAGTATTATCTATTATATACACGTTCAAGCAAAACCGAGTATAAGTATGTAGGAACGTGTGTTTATGAGAATGGGTCCACATAATGAATATGTACAACCTATACAAATAAGTTTTGAATCACAATCACCACTTGAACGAGGAGATTGTTTACCAGGACAATGAATGGAGAATGCACAATAGTTTTCCTGACAGTTTTCCATGTTGTGTGAACAGAGAACTGTGAAGAATGTATATGTAGGTACCTACCCTACCTTTCGAGATAAGTCGATAATGATTATAAATGTATAATAAATAATTCATATAGCATTAAGCATTCCAGAAAGTTATGCAGAATCCGTCTTTGAATAATTTGGATTTTCCTCGAGATTTTCATTGTCAGTCGCTTATTTCAAATTCTCGATAGCGCAGAGCACTGAACTTATACAGGGTATGCAATGACCCTCATATTTTAGTACTTATACGCGACTATACCAGGCATTGTTTTATCCTCTGTTTATCGAAAAATAGAGTTCGGGAATATATATATTTACATATATATTGAGCGTTGTATCTCATTTCATCTTATTTAAAATGTGGATTTCTTTAACCCACCGACAGGACCGGACTGGAACCATTTGGGGCCCTCAGCTAAAACCTGTAAAGAGTCCCTCTACCGGGGATCTCGAGGCTCTCCCCCGGAAAATTGTCGGAAATCAGGTGTTTGAATGTAGGGATTAGAAAAATAATATTAACATTTTTTGAATCCTGTATATGTAACTTAACTGAGATGATTCGACATTTTACTATAACTCTACTTTTTGAAATGAAAACGAAACATAACCAAGATCACAAAATAACTCCTAACAAGACAAAAACCTTTTTCTTGTACGTTATGTGGGTCCCCTTTGGGGCCCACTCGATCCGGGGCCCTTCACGATCGCGGACCTGGCCAATCCGGGCCTGCTCATCGAGTTCCTAATAATTTTAGTCCGAGAAAAGAAAAGATATAGGTATACTGATTTCTTTGTAGACTGAGTAAATAATATCTTATAATTAGTATTGGTCGACATTGAAAATCGCTAAGTAGGTACATACCTCATAGAGATTAGACTAGTACGACACTGTTTATAGGGGTCTGATTTGAAAATAATACTCATTTCCCCAAGGCGGCTTATAAATTGGTTCAGCAGAATGTTAAGTATATATAGGTGCTCGAAATTTGGTAGCAAGAATAACCTGCCGGAGAGTATAAAACATCGTGGATAATAAGGCTCAAGTAGGTAGTTATACATGTAATTGAAAGAACTGATAATGTAGGTTGGTATTTTATTTCATACTATCATTCAAAAATAACGTTCATTCTCAAGTATAAACAAAACACTTTCGAATTACCACAATTGTTTCACAAACTCTTCTTCTTCTAAGCTTTGGTCACCGAACAGAAACAGAGACTTTGGTAGAAGTCTATACTGCTCAAAGTGGAGTGAACTTTTTCAAAGGAAGGAAGGAGCATTCCTTCCTTTCTTCTTCTTCTTATTCTTCTTCTTTTTTATTTCAATTTGCTGGGTCAGGCTATCTTACTTCCATCATTCTCCAGCTATACAAAGGCTGACCGGTAAATGTTGAATGTGTGTGAATAGTTTGTTTAATCTATGATATTATGGTGTATGTGCTCTCCCATCTCTTATTCACAACCACCTTCTGACTGTGGCAAAACCCTGTTTGTTTCAGGGAAAAGGTAAAATGACAACATACTGGCTGAACAAGGAACGAATATCCAGAGTCACTACCCAACCTGGACCTGCAATGGAAACCAAGGCAAGAGCACTATCGACCCCTTTGCCAATAAACGCTCGCAAAGAAATGCCGAGCAATGGTAAGGTTGTGAACTTAGTAAACATTGTTCCTCCCTCTGACGAAGCTGGCATACCCCTACTTGCCGTAACGGCATCCCAAGATTCTGAATCTTGAGATGGACCATCAACTCTATCAAGTATTACGAATAATGTTGAGTGAAAACGAAAGAAATGTTGGTGAATTTTATCCAAAAACAATTGCAGAGTTTCGTGCCGCACCTGCACTCACTTCAAAGGAAACTTCAAATTTGCCGACGCCGCACTGTGCGGGATATTCTGCAATTGGTTTTGGATATACGAATTGACATCATGTAAATCAATCGAGTAGGTAGGTAGGCTGAGTATCTTTCCAATATCTACTTGAGCAAGTAGTACCTATAGAAAGTAAACACTCGATTGATGGGTTTTCCATCAACTTATACGAGTATCGGACATTGAAACAACAATTTTCGGTAAATCGAAATCTATAGTGAACAGTCACTCATAACTATGGAAATTTTGTTACCTGCTGGCTCATAATGAGATGGTATGGTATATAAGTATCCCATCAATCTGCGATTCATAACAATATATTTTGTCCATGATTCCATGAATGAATGACATCTGCTGGGAATTTCAAATTCAAAGCGATCTTCTACTCTGACATGAATAAGAATTGCCAGCGGCCAAACACAAAATATAATCACGTCTTTAGTCATTCTCTTTCGTAGGCATACTTCCTCAAAACTTGACTGAACTCATATATGCTTGATAAAAAAAACTGTTTAGGAAAATATAGCATGTCAAACCTCTCCCGATAAAATTGTTGAATAAGTTTCATTATTATTTTTTCTGTAGCTAAAGTTGAAGCTTCCAAAATTAACGAACTCTTCTGATACTAAACTCATGAAAGTATAAATACTATCTGTAGGTTAATCGAGGAGGTGGTACATTCATTAATCCAGATTTTTTCGGGATTTTCTCTCCTCGTCTCTATAAAATTAAAATAAAACGTAGAGACGAGGAGAGAAAATCCCAAAAAAATATGGGATCATGAAAGTATATTGATGTTTTGAGTTATTAATTCTATAATGGATCTCCCGTAATGTGCTCTGCCTATAGTTGGTTGCTATAAAAACTGCGTTACCTAATATATTAAAGTATTATTATCTCTACTTTGAGGACCATTAATTTTAAAATTTTCTCACTTTCACCATCAGGGTATTGAAATTTGTAATATTTTTCGAAAATGACTTCGGTGATAGATGAAGCATTATAAAATTATAGAAATAATATGACTGCACTGTTATATAATATGACCTATTTTAATACTTTTTCATAGTTAGATGAATATTCTATTGAGACTTTTGATATGATTTCTCATATACCGGGCGAAATAGACTTATGGTATTCTCCTCTTTTCTCCTTCATTTTTCCCGCTATATTTCTGAAATTTGAAACATTGAATATGATGCTCACGAGAGGCCAGTTTTCATTTATGTTCAATGGGTGTGACGACGGAATAGCGAAACTTCTTTCTCTCTCACACTCATTGAGTATATTAAAAATTTGAACGCGAATATCTTCGTAATCGTTTGAAATAACCCGATCAAACCTGGTTTCGTTGAATTCGTTATTTTAATTTCTAACCGATAATGGATTTAAATATAGGGTGCTCCATTTGAAAATCTAAAGTTGACGTCATTTCCAGGAAAACCGGAAGATGAAAATAAATTCCTAGAATACGAGAAAGTGTAGTGAGCATATTCGAGGTTCCAAATTTCACAAATATATCTTGAAAACAAAGAAGAAAGGGGGGGTATACCATGAGTTTGTGACACCCGTTATATACTTATACCTACTTCTGCCTAATCATAAATCAGGAGTTCATATTATTTTCACTTGAATGAGGATCGAAATTTGATATTTTATATATGGCTTAATATAAAAATTGAAACATTGGGTATAGATTCTCATTTACGAAATGAGCTAATGTGAACTTTTTTAACTACTCGGAACCATTTGAAAGTAGGTACTTACCGATCATATTAATAGCTGTTATGTTGAAATGCATTACACCTAGTCAACTGAATATGTATACATTGTAACGGATTCAATAAGATGGGCCTGTATGTTTTTTTATACTTTCAAATGCATTCTATCGAAATGAATGCAGTGTTATATAGTGTTTTACTGAATAAATATTTATTTGAATATTTTGTTGTTATAGAGGAAGTATACAGAGGGTGTTCGATTAGGATCAGCCACCTACGATAATCTTGAGAAAAAACTCAGTGTTGTTTCTTGTAGTATTTTCGTATCAAAGTTGTAGGACTAGATATACCAACTGGTGGCCGAAACCTAATCAAACACCCTGTATGTTCATTGTTCACAAATGTATATATTACCTCATATTCAATTATTCAACGATGTGATTTTTTCGTGCTGAAATGAAATTTTCAAAGTATGTGTTTTACTTTTTTTATCGGATAGGTACTTCTCATTCACAATATAAAATCTCGTTGCTTTGATGGGTACGTACTTTATATTGGAGTCGAATTTCCGAAATCATGGTAATTTGAAACAAATCCAAATCCACACACCTCAACAAATGTAGAGCTCTCAAGTTTCTGAACACAAAAAAATCACCTCACATGGAATAATTAGGTATTCCCTTTTACGCGTTGTACCTGTTGTACCTAAACAATTATTTATTTCGTCCTGCTTGTATATGTTATATGATATGTTCCGCATTAAACAATAAAGTGTAATAAGAACATCATCCAGAACTTAGTTTATATTACTTCAATCTCCAAATCATCCCATTAGAATACACCCATATTGCAATAAGCAAAAAAAATCCGAAAGCTTAAAAACATGGGGTTCACATTGTTATATCCCTGATTGGCTAAGGGAAATAAAAAAGCAAAAGCAATTAGCTCACATGACACTGACTGACACACCCTGCACTCAGGGTGCAGTTCCGATTTTGCTCTTGTTTTTTATACAGGGTGAATCATGAGGAACTGTACATACTTCTACCATGAATAGAGGCCTTTGGCCTTGAGGAGAATACCTAATGACCATCAGAAAGTGTCTTCTTCTCTTCTTTACCGATATATAGGGTGAATTATGAGATTTGGCAAAAACATCTTTTGGCCATAACTTATCAACAGCTCCTTCGATATGTCTGATTTTTTCATGAAATATTCCTCTACTGAACCCGAATCCACTGACATTTCCAGAATCGAGAAAATCCAGGACCGTTTTTGAAAAATTTCGATAATTTAGTTTTCGTCAAAAAGTTCATCCTGTATATGGTTATTGTAAACTGTGATTGGGAATTTTCAAAGCACACAAACAAGCACCAAAAATGAAATATTCAAAATTCTCCTCACACTTTCACAGAAATTTTCAAAAGACCATAAAGTATAAGCAAAACCAGAAGTTTGACATCAAATGTATTCATTTGAAAATAATTACTTCGCAACGCATGAATTGCACGAATAAAAGTGCGAGATTCACATTTTCAATTCCGTATCCCACTGGAAATCAACACGTTCTTTCATGTCAAGGTCTGGTTTTCGTCATTTAATTTATTGTGGAAGGTAATAATCACCCTGTAGATCTTTTTCAAATCAGTGGATGGGGTATCTGTTTAGATGTTGATGGTCATCGATTTAAATGATTCAAGATAGTCGAACTAAAAATAAAGGTTTATTCACAATTACTTTTCAAAAGCTATAATGATAAAGGCGGATAATAAATCTAATATGGAAAATAAGTTTGGAACAAATCGAATAAATATGTAACTGTGAATTGGGATCATCAAATCATTCATAGCGATGGCCATCAACATTTTCACAGATACCCCATCCACTAATTCGAAGAAGATCTACAGGGTGATGCTTATCCTCCACAAAAAAATTGAATCACAAAATCCAGGCCTGAAAATAAAATAATATGTTTATTTCCATTGAGCTGAAGCATTGAAAATGTGAGTCTCATCTTTATTCATGAAATTTAAGGGTTTCGAAGTATTAATTTCCAATCAAATACATCTTTTGCAAAATTTTCGTGTTTTCGTAATTTTTTTTTTCAAACTGCAGTGAAAGTGTGAGGAAAATTCGGAATATCGTATACTTGATGTTGATTGTGACCTTTGGAAATTCCCTGTTACAGTTTACATAAACGTTATACAGGATGAACTTTTTGCTATAAACTAAACTATCAAAATTTTTCAAGAACGGTCCTGGATTTTTCCGATTCTGAATAAGTCAGTCGATTTTAGAGGGTAGTAGCGAAATATGCCATGGAAAAATCAGACGAATCGAAGAAGCTGTTGGGAAGTTATGATGAAAAGATGTTTTTGCCAAATCTCATAATTCACCCTATATATTGGGAAAGGAGTGAAGAAGACGCTTTCTGATAGACATTAGGTATTCCCTTCAGGGGCCTCTATTCGTAGTAGGAGTATTTACAGTTCCTCATGATTCACGCTGTATATGCATCAATTTCAATTCGAATATGCCGCAATGAGAATGGTACCATAAACAAAGCTAAAGGATGGTTATTATCAGCTACTTATTGAATATCATTTATATCGTTATGAAATACATCGAATGTACAAAATTATATACATAGCCAATAATCTTCACGTTAATTAAAAATAAAATTTCGACCATCAACCCCTTTTTGCCATAGTATTTTTGATTATCCAAGGAAGGAAGTTGCTGACCTTCGTGTATATTCCTGGGCTGTCTTTATTTCCACATCCTATACCCCAGGATACTACTCCTATGGTCACCCAGCGGCCATTTTCTAGTTGATACATCAGTGGACCTCCAGAATCTCCCTAGAAATTCAGAAAATCAATATTCCTGCCACCCTTAAAATTTCAACTCTCAAAAGCAAGGCAGTGAATTTGGCAGGTGTTTCTTGTATTCAACTAATTGAAGAAATTCTCTCCTTATTGGGTGGAACAATAAAATGAGAAGTGAGATCATCTTGCTTCATAAAAAGGGGCTTGCAGGGCGACAGCATCTCTTAACAAGCAAATATCTCTTTCTTAAGAAGCAATATCATTTTGCCCAATGAGCTAGTAAATTTCCTGGTAAATGAATAAGGTCATCTTGCTTTAAAGGCGGTAAAACTTAGTTAAGTAGCAGCAGAGATGTAGCAGAAATCAACTCGTTTATAGAAAATTGTACAGTTCATCAGTACTGTCATCATTGATTAGAGGAAATCATACGGATCGGGAATAAACAGGGTGTCCCGAATTAACGGAGAAAGATTTCAATCACAGATTTTAGGTACAAAAATAGTAAAAGGAGTTAATATAAACATGGGTCCAGAAATAACCCTCAGGGGGGTTATAGCCATCTGAAGGAGAACCCGAGATGATGGTTTTATGTGAATATTTTCCCCAATGCCCAATTTTAAAATTTTAAGAATTTTCCGAAAGTTTGATCAGGGGCGTGGGAAAAAGGTGGGGCTTATGATACCTCCCCCCCAAGTTCTTTGTTTATACAACTCTTGTCAGTTCGAACAATAAATATGAAAAAATCATCATTTTTGCTTGAAAAGATGAATCGATTTCAAAAGTCCCCTGCGTAATAATAATAGTACTTTTTCTCAATAAAGGTACCTACCATATTAGAGTAGTATATCTACTTTGTTGGTATGTATATATGTACATACCAATAACTGGCCATCGACCTTACGAGAGGTGCTTCAGCCCATGTGTGTTCTGAGTAGGCTTTGTTACTAACTCCATGCGCCACCTTAGGAGCCGCAGTGCTAATTGGAACGCAACAGCGAATCGTGCGGAATCATCTCCGGCCGAGGCTACGAAAATTAGAATTTATAAAATATTCACATAAAACCATCATCTCGATTTCTCGGTCCTTGATGGCTATTATTCCTAGAATCTGTTGTTGAAATCTTTCTATGTAATTTCGGGCACCCTGTATATTGTAGGTTCTGAAGCGTTATTGAACAAAGTCAAGATGGAACAAGCTTCTTGAAGCTAAATAATCATGCTTTCTAACCAAGATGATCTTGCTTCTCGATCATGATTATCTCTTGTTTCTTGCAAGATAAACTCTTTAATAGAACAGAAAGATGTTGCTTCTCGAGCAGAACAAAAAAGATGAATATTTGCCCTCCAGAAATCCAGTAAGCTAGTACTGACCAGACAAGAATCCTTTCCACCCTCGTATCCAGCTGCGCAGATGTTGTCATCGGTGATCTTCTGAACAAACGTATCAACGCATTTCTGCTGCGGCCACACCGGCACCTCTACCTGCAGCAGCACCTCGCTGAGAGGTCCCGCGAAGTACTGCTGACCCCACCCCGCTACCACGACAGTCTCATCGACGTACTCCCGACCGCGCATGGGCAGACAGATCGGCCAGATGTAGGAGTTGAAGCTGGTGGGAGTTTCCAGCCTGAGGATGGCTATGTCGTTGTCGTAGGACGATAGCTCGAAGTTCTCGTGCTCGATGATCTCCGCCACCAGGAGGTCACGTGACCTCGTCTCGTTCCTTCGCCCGAAGTCGTACTCACCCAGTCGCACGCGTATCGCCGGGGCAGTCAGACTTGAATACAGCAAGAAAGTTCGTGTTAATATCGGAATCAGGTTGCAACCTCAGAGAATTGAGCAGCCAGATCCATCAATATATATATACCTTTCGCCTTAATTCCTGTATCTTCGTGCATATACAAATTACTTATGCATTTACCCCGTATCACAGTTTTCATAAAAAAAATATATAGGGAAGATAGCAATTAACATGTAAGTATCATCAATCTAACATACCGGTTCTAGCACTTGTTTTATAGAAAATATATCTGAAAATTTGAACTGGAATACATCGAAAAATCTGAAAGGAAAAATCTAGAAACAACTTAGAGAGGTATATGTTGCCACCTCCCTCAATTGGACAGCTTGTGAAGGGAATGAGGGAACCGTATTCAGAGTAGACGATTTATCATTGTGTGTATAAGGTTAGAATGTTTACGGCGGTTTCTCAAAACGACACTAACTGTCAAAGGATTTATTTTTGAATCAAGTGTTTATTCAAGTTGGTACGTGTAATTTGTACTTATGTCCGCGCATGGGCAGGCAGATCCGCCAAATGTAGGAGTTGAAAGCTGGTGAAAGTTTCCAGCCTGAGGATGGCTACGTTGTTGTCGTAGGACGACAGCTCGAAGTTCTCGTGCTCGATGATCTCCGCCACTAGGAGGTCACGTGACCTCGTCTCATTCCTTCGCCCGAAGTCGTACTCTCCCAGTCGCACGCGTATCACCGGGGCAGTCAGACTTGAATGGAGCGAGAAAGTTCGTGTTAATTTCGGAATCAGGTTGCAACCTCAGAGAATTGAGCACAGAAGATAATCTGTCTGATGACCAGCCAGATCCATCAATATATATATACCTTTCGCCTTAATTCCTGTATCTTCGTGCATATACGAATTACTTATGTATTTGCCCCGTATCACAGTTTCCATAAAAAATATATAGGGAAGATAGCAATAAGTAACATGTAAGTATCAATCCAACATACAGGTTCTAGCACTCGTTTTCTAGAAAATATATCTGAAAATTTGAACTGGAATACATCGAAAAATCTGAAATAAAAAATCTAGAAACAATTTAGAGAGATATGTTGCCACCTCCCTCGATTGGACAGCTTGTGAAGGGAATGAGGGATCCGTATTCAGAGTAGACGATTTATCATTGTGTGTATAAGGTTAGAATGTTTACGGCTTTTCTCAAAACTGCACTAACTGTCTCAGGATTTATTTTTGAATCAAGGTGTCTAGAGAACTAGGCATGGCCACGTCCAAATTATAGTATACCATGCTCTGTTTGAGTCACACATAAGGTATGGAATACCTTTCTGAGGCATTTGCAGTGAACAGAATTTCAAATCGATCTGCATCCTCCAGAAGCGGGCTGTTCGATACATCTACAAAGTGGTACCTAGAGTATCATGCAAACCTCTGTTCCCAGAGGACAAAATCCTAACACTTCCGTGCCTCTTCATTCTCGAAACAGTATGTTTAGTTCACAACAATAAATCGTCATATGATGCGGTTGTAAGTTCTACTCGCCAAAGCAACACTTTAATACTCCCCATTCCATCGACCAGCTTAACTAAAAAGTCATTGATTTATAATGCTGTCAAATTATATAACCATCATCCAGTCGATTTCAGGAATATTGTATCTCCAATTCATTTTAGGAGATCTGTGAAACAATATCTCATCAAAGAAACATATTGTGTTCGAGAATATCTAGCTAAAGATTGGAATAATTCAAGTTTTTTTTATGACATAATACCTCATTTGTCATGCATAGTGCCAACTATATGCTTTCGTCATTTTTGGGGTCATAATTGTTATGGTAGTAGGTTATGCAAGAAGTGAATCTCAAAAAAATGCATACCAGGATGTATAGGACTTTTAGATGTCTGAAAATCGGTCTCAAATACGTTGTGAAATGATGAATAATTGTTGTCAACCGAAGTAAAACACTCTGATTTTGTATTTTCTGAGTTTGGCAACTTTACGTTATGCAGTTAATTAACTCGATGTTTATCATCAATATTACTTTGACTCAATCCTTACCCTTGAGTGCAATGGGAAGCTGTCAAAATATGAGTGTCTGTTATCAGGGCTCCGCCACAAAATTGTTGCTCAGTGCCTTCATCGTATTCTTTTTTGCGATATAAGGCAGCCATCCAAGGCCATCTTTGAATGTTGGCTCCTTTCGTTGCCACAGATGATCTACCTCCAGTTTGTATACCACAACCTGAAATATAAAATAGTATACAGGGTGTCCTGAAACTAGCCTGCCATACTTCACCAGCGGCTTTTACGGCCAAAAATAGGAAGACAAGTTTCAATGAACATGAGTCGGAAAATGTCTGCTAAGGGAACTACACGGCCCCCTGAGAGGGGACTCCAGAAGATTATATTTCTAGAATATTTTCGAAACGCCATGTGATAAAACAATGCAATTCGGTACAAGAACTAAACTTTTCATTCCCAATGCTTTGAAAATGAAATAATTCCGATATTTCATTCAGGAGTGTATAATACATGGTGGTACTATATTGGGTATTGCTAAATTTTTTTTATGCATATTTTTCGACAATTTGATCTCGGATTAAGAAAATCCACACCTCTTTATAGAAAAGCGGTGCTCTTGTTCCGTATCGACCAGCTGATCTATCATTTTCGAGTAAAATCGATTTAAAAATATTGTTAAATCTCATTGTGTAATTGTAGGGGCTATGTAAAAAAATGCACAAAAAATTGAAGTCGTTTTTTATCATCTTCTTCCTATTTTCGGCGGCTCTATGAGATTGTTGAGTGGAAATAAGTGATTGATTTTATTCATAGCGACTAAGATTTGGAAACTGGCAATGTTATGCATAAATATTTAATGAGATGTAACGATATTTTTGAATCGATTTCTCGAAAATGATACATCTATTCTGATCGATATGAAACAAGAGTACCTTTTTTCTGTAAAGAGGTGTGGATTTCCATAATCCAGGATTACATTATCAAAAATTATGCATACAAAAAGTTTGAGTAATATTTAATGAGGTTTATATTCGGCATATAGAAAGTTAAGTTCTTGTACCATGCAAATTTCGTCAGTTTATCACATGGCGTTTCGGAAATATTCAGGAAATATCATCTTCAGGAGTCCCTTCTGAGGGAGCCGTAGCTCAGTTGGGAGCCATTTTCCGAATCATGTCCATTGGAACTTTTCTTTTTATTTTCGGTCGTGGGAGCCGCTGGTGAAATTTGATGGGCAGGCTAATTTCGGGATATACTTTTTTATGTCGTGCGTATAATATGTGTTGCACAGCTCTTGTTATGTGATATTTGTACAATTCTTCTTAGATCAATGATTGAATAAGGGATAGTTATCTCACCGGTTTGACCATCGTTTTCATCATAATCATTTCCTCCTGCAGGTAAGTCCATAACTAGTTGGGATCCTACTACTCCTGCACTGGCTATGTCATCCGGACAACATACTCCAACAAATCTGAAAATTGGAAATTACAAATGTAACCAAATTCAGCAGGATTTTTCAACAAGCATATCTCGAAAAAATAAATGATGAATTAATACTGCGAAGAATTTAATTTCCATCGATCCTAATTTTTTAGCCATATGTATACCAGTATATAACACTTGCTAAACACGGAACACCCTGTTATACAGGGTAAGTTAAAAATGTGTACCAAGTTTTCTGGAGGTGGTAGTTCATTGAAAAATAAATATAGTTTGATTGATAAACTAATAGCCGAAAATATATATTAGGGGAGATAAATCTTTCCGGAGTTGATTAATTTAAATATTTTTTCTCAACACTAGCTATACAAGGAGAATCTGAAAGTGAGTTTTTTTCCAACAGGATATATATCTCACCAAAATAAGTTGTTTGACAAAAGATTGCTGCTATAAAATATTTAAGATAAAAGATAACGGAGGTACAGGTATTCAGTATTTAATGATTCAAAGAAGACTATAACTATGAAACATTTTGTTTACATTTTCTTTAAAAAAAACGCAAAAAAGCAGTCATTAATTAGTCCAGCATTAGATACCCTACAGTTGCATTATTTAATTAGAAACACTATAATCAAAAACCTCACATTTTCAACCTATTAATTAGGTATCGTTTTAAAGTGACCCAAAAAAATTTAGGAGGGAAATGAAGCTTATTTTGGCTTATTTTGGCGAGATATATACCCTGTTGAATAGAAAACCTTACTTTCAGATTCACCCTGTATAAGACAAAGTAAAGTGTGTTTTCACTGCCAAAGATTAAGTTTTCGTTTTTTTATGAACCACAAGTCGATATAGACAAAGCCACATCTGTTGTAATCAAACCGAATTCACTGTTCTGATGCGAGATTCGCAGGAATGGCACTCGACCTGCGAATATCGAATAACGACTTGTCATATGCTGTCAGGAAGATGGTAACTCGATTTTAATTAGAATTGAGCAGAAGTGCTTTCATAGTGACAAAATAGGTCCATATTCCAGTTTCATAGAACTAAAATGATTGAAATGTATTGCTAGTGGTGAAAAAAAGTGATATACATGTACAAAATTTCATATCCTATCACAGAGGGTTTCGGAAATATTTAAATAAAAACATCACCTCGGGCGCCATTTCTTTGCTCATATTCGTATGACCTTTTTTTACTATTCATACATACATACTCTGTTCCCAGAATCTGTGGTTGAAATATTTCGATGTAATTTCGGGACACCCTGTACCTATAATTACTTACATAATACTGTCTTTATGTACCTATAATTAGTTGTCATGTAACAAAATTTGGAGCATAAACTTACTTAGGTTGTTACATCCGAGCGAAATACTCACGTTTTGTCAATAACACAAAGATAGTCCAACGTGTTGATTTGCTGGAATATATTGGTGGGACAGTAGGAGGGGTGTTTGCAGTGGCCTTTCACATCTCCAGGTGCTACACATTCTTGATATCTTTTATTCAACTGGAAGATTCCATGAGTTTCAGTCAAGTGTAGAGTTACAATGAGTTCATTTCTTTAATTATTGTGGTAGGTGCGAAATAGTTATTCATTATGCAAGGAAAAAAAGTATTATCTAATATTTTTTCCGTGTTCAATACACTATTTTTTCCCCTGACAGAAACAACGACGATTCAATATTGAGAAGATATTACATTATAAGATCAGAACATTATCGATGTGACATTTGAGGTTTTTATCAGGTGTACTACCTGTGTTGCAGGCATCTTCATTGTTGCTATGGAAACCTTTTGAAATAATCGAATATTTCTGCATCAAATCAGTATAGATTGATGACGCATTGCTCTGAAAAACTAGTAGAATACAGATTTTTAGAGATTAAGTTTTTGACAGTAAATAAGTTCATTAATTATTTGTAGTTTTCATCTCATGAAGTTTTGAATTTTAGTAGCATACAGATTTGAAAATCAGACATATACAGGATGTCCAAGAATATTATTAGGGTATCAATTTTCAAACTTACTCACCCAAAAAATTTGCATACTTTTACCATAGATCTAAATATTCAGATCTATGCTCTCACTATTCGTACCTACTTATACTTCATAACGGAATTTCGATGTATCCTTCGCCAAAAATTGAAAGGATGTGGGCCTCATATAGAGGTATTGAAATCCCCATTATGGTGGAGGAAGATCTTGAACTTGTGAGGCAAATATTTTTGACTTGCCAAGTACTATGCATGGAAATTACAGATCTACGCAGATAGATAAGTAAATATATAGATTGAAAATATATTGACGAATAGATCAGATTTGATTTGCGTGACCTTTCTTTGTTGAACATTAATTTGTGAATTAACTGACAATTTTGGCGGATGAACATATTCTAGTTCACCATAAAGCAAAATAGTGTTTTATTTATACTGAAGTACTTCGACTTCAATACACACGTCGGAATAAATGAAATACAATGTATCACATTCGAGTCGATCGTATTTATGTAAGTACAGGTATTTTACTGAAGTTCCTACTAACCTTGAAATTTCTGCTCAATCCCAAGTACCTTTTTCTTCTTAAGTGATTTATATTATCAAGTTCTGAAAAAACAGTCTCCTTTGGTTTGCTCGGAAGGAAATTCTCTTGAAAAAGTAAGTAATTTATTGATTATAAATACATCAATAATAAGGTTCATTCATTAACTATATACGTATATAACATTCTACTGTCGAGCATATAATATGTTTAACTTACCATTTCTAATCACTATGCAATTACAAATACTTAAAAAAGTTGAGAGAAACAAGCAAATATTCATATTCATCTTCATCAAGAGGAACACGAAATAAATGATATACTGATCGATTTATTAGCATTTTTTATGAATCTCCATTCTTCCTGTTAGCTTCTTATCACCCAAATGCGGGGGAGTCCGGTTATCTTCTGCTATATTATTTTGATAATTTGCCAACGGTCACAATATATTTTACAGTGGAGAGGGGACGAGAAACGAATTCATTACCCATTTATCTGAATAATTGAAATACAATATGATACTGATATTCGCATAGATATATATATATATATATTTTCATGTATATTTTCTGAGATGGTAAGTATATCTACAGGGTGTTGCGAAATTCGACAGACAACGCTTCCAATCTGAGGATAGCTATCGTGATTTGATGAAGAATGAATCAGGAACATAAATAAGGCCGTAATATGCCTTGTTCTTGAGAGACAGGGTGTTAAAGTTGAAAACTTAAAATCCTTTTTTCGCAAAAACTCAAGAACGGCTGAATTAGTTCTATTTCCTGATGGAAAGTTATATCAGACCATTTTTCCATTGGCGTAGTTAGAGGATATAATCGAATTATACTGCAAAAATACATGAGGTGCGATGGAAATTTCTGGACTTTCATACACTAACATAACATTCAATTCCAAAGATGAAAGGTCCTCTTGATGATGGAAATCAATAAAATACACCGTTTCCGAGAAAAATAAGAAAAACGTACCTTACTATAGATGCAGAGCTTATTTCCATCAAATTACATTATCTAACGATTTCCAAACATGATCATGTTTTGATGTAACCTGTCATTGTATTAAGATTCGTAACAATTCGAATTGAATTAAGTTTTTCTGCTTGTTATGAATTTTTCTATCGATGAAATGATTTTAATTTTATACGGAGAAGCTAGAAAGAATCGGTAGAATGGCATCACGGTTATATGAAGAAAGATTTCCCAATCGTAGAATACCTCATCATTGAACTTTCGCAAGTATTGAGAGGAGAATTCGTGAAACAGGAAGTTTAATAACTATTGAAAGATATAATGCAGGGAAACAAGAAATGTTTGTGTAGGAGAGGAAATATTAAATGAAATATCTGAAAAACCAAAGACAATCTTTGAGTACAAGAACGATTGGTTGCCCACTGAATGTGGACAATTCCATTGTGTGGACTCCACGGGAACAAATTAATGCTACTGCCTTATAAATTCAACTGAGTACAGAGATATCTGTGAGAGTGGAATTGTCTAACTGGTTTCCCTGAGTACGTTTTATCCACCGACGAATTAAATTCACAAGGAAGGAATGTTCAACACAAGAAACAGTCACGTGTATGATATGACGAAAACCCACATTAATTTCGCCTTCGTTGGTTCCAGACAAAATTTATTATCAATGTGTGGGCTCTGGTATGGTCAGAAATTGTCTGATTGTCCAATATATTCTACCGAATGAATTAAATGGCCAATTTACAGGCGTTTTCTAACAAGAAGTTCTTCTAGGACATTTGGATTGAAATACCTATCAGAAGAATAATGTGGTTTCAACATGACGGTGCGCCTGTCCATGTTTACATCAGAGGTACCAGAACGTTACCAACTGAAATATTTGGTGATAAATCGATCGGATGGGGTAGACCGTGGACCATATGGCCCGCCCCTAAGTCGCACCCGATCTAAATCTTATAGACTTTTTTTCTGGGGACATATGAAATCCTTGTTATAGAAAACCATCGTTGAAACTGGGGAAGAATTGATAAAAAGAATCCATCAGGCTGCAGCAGAACTGATATATACGTACTAACTCATTATTACTTTTTTCGAATATGCGTTTTACAATGGAAAGACGTTGCATGATGTGTCAGCGAGTTTATGGCAGGAACTTCGACCATTTATAATAATTTTTTGTTTATATTATGGTATTTTCATTTTTGATTATGAATAAAGGAAACTGCTACCTAGTCACGTTTTCCGTTTATTCTCGACAATGGTGTATTCCATTGATTTCCATCAAGAGGACCTTTCATCTTCAGAATTATGTCTTTAATATTTGCGCATGAAATTCCAGAAATTTCCATCGCCACCAATGTATTTTTCGTGAATAATGCAAATTATACCCCCTAACTGCCCCAATGGAAAAATGGTCTGAGATAACTTTCCAATCGTGGATTCTGAAATATAATTCATGTATTTATTGTGAAAAAACGATTTTAATTTTTCAACTTCAACACCCTGTATCTCAAAAACCATCAAGCATATTACAGCATTATGTTCCTGACTCATTCTTCATCAAATCACGGGAGCTATCACCTGTCAACCGTTGTCGGTCGAATATCGCAACACCATGTATAGCGCACTTTTTAAAAAAATGCGAAAAAACTAAGTACAGGGTGTCCGAGAGATGAATACAGTGGGTATATGAAAGATAGGTAATCGTATTTATGGATTTCAAAAGTGGATGGCATCTCTCCTGTTCCAATGGAAGTTTGCAAAACATGTCAGGTTCCAACTTGATAGGTATCATCAATGATATAGCAACCATGCACACTTGCACTATCCATGCACAGCTTTGCAGACGATAGTACTCTCCATACTGCGTTTTCTTCTAGAATTCCAATTTCTTCCCAGGAAAATCTTGCTGAAATTACTGCCTTGGGAACCAACAACCTATATAGTTGAATTCAACATACTACCAAAACTCAAGACTATTTTTTTGCATGAGAAAGGCGGGACTCAGTATGCCTAATATAACGATTTGTCTGGTTCCACCATTCCCACCAAGACCACTATTATATCGATGCTCGGTATTTCCATCAGCAATACTCTTTTATGGAAAAATCATATCCGATCCATCGCAAAAGCTGCTTTTATTTTTCTTTCGTGCGAATATCACTATAGGTACCTACTTTACACCTCAACATCAGCTTCTCATGATCTTACAAAGCACAGATACGGCCAGTTTCAGAATACTGTTCTGACACATGGGGTTCAACACCCAAGCAAACGCTGATGCTCTCTTAGATTCCATCCAGAGAAGAGCTATCTGTCTGTCAGTGAGTCGCACGCACCATACTGGGTGGGACACCAGTAACGCCTCGCTCTCTAGAAGACTAAACAATCATCTCCTTGGAAATCTTCCTCTCTAAGACGTTGCATGTCAACATAGGCTACCATTTGAAATTATTCCGAAACATATACAGGGTGTCCCAAAAAAAAAGCAATCCACTGAAGTTATACGTTTTTTAATGGAACACCCTCCCAGGTAACACGGTACTCTCCGCGATATCTCTAAGTAGTTATCTTCAGGATCAAAATGCGAAATCCTTCTGCGAGGTATCAAAGATCACTATAGGCTGTCACCATGGGAAATACTCTCTGGAGTCGTCCGAAAGAAATCGCGGAGATCTCGCCTCAGATTTGATATATTCCTCATTATTGCGAATCCTTGAGGTTATCTATAACAGGAAATGAATAGGCATTTCTTTCTGCGAGCACCCAAGGATATCCTGGACGTAACAAGATCGAGAATTTCCCATTGCGAGCTCCTAAAGTAATCACAAACATAACCTGAATAATTAATGAATATTCCTACAAAAATATTGAGTTGTTTTTTTCAATAGCCTTTATAATTCAAATACTGGGTGTCCCAAGTTATCGTTTACAGGCAATATCTCGCCTATTTGTCAAGATATCAAAAGCATTAAAAAACTGCATTAAATGGCATTGAATAACCTTCCTAATGGCTTATGAAGAATGTGATATATTTGGCAGCCCCCGGATGGTAGATACTGATCTAGTAGCATATTGTCTCTGAAAATTGCGTGTCAATCTATTTGGAATACAACGATATAGCACATACTTTGTGTTTTGTTCTTGATAACAACAAAAACATGAACATTTTGTGACTTTTTTACGTTACTCAAATGACAAATTGCTTTCACCCATGTGTTCAAGAAGTTCACAAATAAGAAGTATGGATTGCATTTTTGTTTCAAAATATTAATGACAGATATTCCATTTTGAACTGCAGAACATCAATCATTGCAGACGGTACCTATACCTTGTGTAATAATTAATCTAATTTCATTGTGGGACATTTTTACGAACATGGGAGGAGGCAATTTTCAATCGATGTAACGTAAATGAGGTCAAAAAATTTTATTGGTAATGTTGTTATTAATGAACAAAATACAAAGTACAGATGTGCTATCGTTCATTCCCGAAATAGGATGATTGGCAATTTTCAATGACAATATACAGGGAGTCCATTAAATGAAAATTGAGGAGTTGCTACCAGGTGGCTGTCCAATCTTTTACACTTTTTTTTGAGTCATAAAGAAAGTTCTCTGATGTCATTTGAAGCATTTTTACTATTTTTTGTTCATCTTGTCGAGTAAGCAAGTTTATGACGGTACCTTTACGATAACTTGGGACACCCAGTATTAACATGAAATGGGAGTCATTAATCTATGATAATAATAATTGTATACTAGATACTAGATTTTCTTACTGATTATTTCAAATTTTGCAGTGAATTAATGATAATTAATTATCTGCTCTGACGAAAAAGACAAAAATGTTCTAATTCAGGTGGGATCGAGAATCAAATATCTACCTCAAATTCGTGGGTAGATATCGGACGACCTTTTTTTTCAAAGGATACCCGGCCAACTCCTCGGAGATTTTTTCAAGTGATAAAGTTTACTTGATCAATGTCTTGCTATAGAATAATATATAATTAAAGCTCATTACGTTGATCTTCCTCTAAGTTTGGTAACTCAATCTTTTTCGCTGAAATAAATATCCAGTAAATTTAACTCCACCCCAAACAATATAGCTGGCGCTAGTTAGACTTCGCCGGCAGGAGACTGCTGATAACCAATGACTTCTCAAACATTGAACACCTTACCATATTAGTGGCGATCATGTGGCGATTGATGCAAATATCGCTCTTAAAGACCTCGTTATAAGGTGATGTGCACGGATTCTTGAACAATTCATAGTTGCGAGCACTTGAAGAGTTCGCTATTAGTAATTGATGCGAATTTCCCAGAGTTCTCTTCACAAGGCGATGCGTGCGAAAATCTCAAACAGCTCGTAGTCGCGAGCACTTAAAGACCTCGACAGAAGCAATTGATGCGAATCTCCCAATGTCCTCGTCACAAAGCAATGTATGCGAATTTCTCAAACAGCTCATGATTGCGAGCACTTTCAGTTATCGCCAGTGGCGATGGAAGCGTATATCTCAAAGTGCGCGCCTGAGGGCATTGTATGAGAATTTCTGCGTGCGATATCTTCAAGACCTCGCTGAGCTCAGCCTAGGTGGCGGACATTTGGCATAGATATAGCACTCTCGGCGATCTCTCAAAGAAGTTACAAAAGGCATCACAATTTCCTAAAAGGATTTCTTCAAGATATCTTTAGGACCTCTTTGTGCTGGCTGGGCTATATATTATTCTATTTTGATATTCTCCCTGAAGAGCAGATTTCAACAAGCTATCGTACTTGGGGTCTTACTGAGGTATATAGGGTGTGAAAAGTCGAGATTTTCCAAGTTCTGGGATTGTTTGTGTCGAAACTATTCATAATTGGTCAAAATGGTTCACATATATCCCGATCAATATGTTGTATCTACTATCGATTGGTATTTCATCAAAATACATACAGGGTGGTCGAATATCTTGATACTGAACCACCCAGTATTTGTATGAATTAAATATCAATTGATATAGTAGATAAAAAGTTGAGATAGGGACATGTTAACCGTTTTGACCATTGATAGTTTCGACACAAATATTCTTGAACTTGGAAAATCTCGATTTTCCAAACCCTTTATCTCAGTAATTATCATTGCTAGACCCCAAGGATGATGAACGTTGAAATCTCGAAATGCAATAATATAAAGGATGTTCCATTGAAAAAAGTATAACTTCAGTGTATTGTGAGTTTTTGGGGACACCCCGTATGTTGGAAATAATTTCAAATGGTAGCCTATGTTGACATGCAACTTCCTAGAGAGGAAGAATTACAAGAAGATGAGTGGATATAGGATAGCCTTCTAGAGACCGAGGCGATACTGGTGGGCCCACCCTATATATAAAATACTTTGACTTCATTAGAACATCGTAGGAAAGTCGGCGGCGACAATTCACTTTTCTATAGATAATACAAAACTCCTTCGTCTATAGAACGGCAAAGCTTTGGAATTATTTGCCAAATATTCCCAAGAACTTTTATAACCTACAAAAGTTGAAAAAAATCCAACACCTTAACTCCCTCTCCCTATATCCTCCCTGAGTACCTATGCATGATGTTCTTCGAATTTCATAGGAATTTCCTTTCCTGCACTTCAAGAGTTCCACAGATTATCAGGATAAAATAGTACCTACCTACTTGATATTGATAGTTGACAATATGCAGTTTTTCTTCAGTGAAGTCTTGGTTCATTTACTACCAGAGTACAGAGTAAGAGATAATTCTGTAATACCTATACTCATTATTGTTGGTAGATGTTTGCACATAAAATAAAAAAGAATTTTTCTAATAGTAATTATCAAGCAGTGAGATATATATACGAGTATCGAGTATATATATATATAATGATATTTTTATAAGGAAAATATTGTTCCTTTTAATAGTATGAAATTCGGGGAGCAAAAATAATCCAAATGTCCATATATGTTATCTCTGAGTGGAGTATTAGTGATCAAGAAGCAATAAAACTCAAAATCATCTCCATAATTTTCTATTTAAGTTTTCAGTTCAATTAAATGAAATTCACTAAATATTGTGAATATAAATAACACTCAAAAGCATATAAAACATTTCTTTTTGATGAACAGTAACAATAAATAATTTCAAAAATATAATCAAAACTATCAAAAGGTAAAAAAACATACAAATTTGTAACTGAAAAATTCAATGAAGCATTCCATTTGCAAATTACCATTAAGTTTTATTGAGTTTCTTGTCATGGTACAAAACCCTATTGTTATATAGATTTCATTTGAGCCATGAGTTCATCCAAACTAACATCATCTGAAACAGTTGCCTCTTCACATTCTGCAATACTACTTTGACTTGGGAGTGTGTAGGCTAATTGAACACCTTCACTAACATTTACTTGTTCCTTTTCCTCCACACTTTCATTCACAAGACTAATTCCCCATTCATTATCTTCATGAATTGGCTTTTCTTCTTCTTTAGCTTCCACAGCCATTTCAGTTTTAGGCTTTGCAACAAATTCTTTCTGCCTCAGTCTACAATGAGAGTCTTCACAATTGGGGTTTGGTTTCAAACCCATAGTGGGGAAAAAATCAGTCAGTGCACTGTAGCCTAAATAGTGAGTGACTTGACCAAACTGAAGAAGATATTTCAAGGTGTTTTGAACAAGAAAACCTGCAACAATGCCCATTGTTGTTGGAAGACTAGCTGCACAAACTCCATCACGTTTCAGTGTTTTTTCATCTATATTAGATGCAACAATCAATGGTGGTGCACACTGAAAAAAAATCACAATTACATTTTGCATTGAAAGTGAAAAAAATTATTGATATTACTCACTGCAAAACATGCAGTTTCTCCAGGAACAATGAACTGAATGTGTCCAGAAACAGCATTTTCTGATACACCTGATTCAAACCATGTCAAATTAAATTCATTGCAGGCAGTATTTATAGCAAATCTTGCTTCAAAATTGTCTACACAACTCAGTACCAAATCCACTGGTCCATTTGTAATACTGCTTGTGCTAAAATGTAAATGAATGTGAAGTAAATAATGATAATAAGTAAATATCCAAATCATTGAAATAGTTCATAATAATATCTATTTATACACTTACTTCAGAACATTGGTGAAATTATCGAAATTTTCAACAGTTGTTATGTTATAATTGAAAGTTAGGATATCAACATCAGGATTAATGTTTCTTAGAGTCTCAGCAGCAGCCTCTACTTTGCTCAAACCTGACTGGTGTGGTTGGAAAAATAATCTGTTCATATTGGCAAGTTCTACCTTGTCATAATCGAATAAGATCAGCCTTCCTATACCACATCTTGTCAACATCTCTGCAGTGACACTTCCAACTCCACCAACTCCTACTACAGCTACTGTGTAGTCTCTTATTCTCTCATAATTATTAACTATTCCCATACGCTTCAAAGCCATCAACCGACTGAAATGCAGTTAACGTAAATAGTTCAGATTACAAGTTAAACATTTCTACCTGTAGGGGTTGGAATCAACAACTTCTGACGACATTTGTTGGATCTTTCCCCTGGGGACATTTTTTTGAGTCAGAGCTGATAGTTTGCTTTCTAGTTTTGCCACAATTGCTTCAAGTTCTTCTACAGTACTCATTTTGAATTATTTGAAATCTAAAGTCGATTAGATTTCCCACACTAAAAACATATGGTAACAAGAAACAATAATAACTTTGACAAGACAAAACATATGATCACTAATGACATATTTGTCATAAGTGTGACATATGATGGAATTTTATGGGAGTGTCTACAGAACACTACAAAAATTCAATCTGACCTGATAAGAGACAAACGTCTCTCGCCAGTCATTCAATCAGTAGCATGCTGTTGTGATGCGGAAAATCTCAAGGTTATGAGCAGATATCTATATGAAGCATAGCTGTCCTCAAAGCGGGACCAACTCATGTCTCTATAGGTAACGAAATCGACCCATAGGCGTTGATGCCGACGTAGGGAAAAAATAATACGAAACTTGTTAAACCAACCAATAATTTTTGGTAAATACTATTTCGAAAATTATTTTAATGAACTTCAATGGAACATTCATGATCATTCAAATTCTGTTCTGAGGTTATTTATTATCGCATCGACCATCAAAAAGCCCGGGCGATATGGTCTTGGAACGGCCGGCCTTGGTCTTTAAAAGAAAAAACGTGGGCCAAGTGGTTGGGACAGGTCGGCAACGGCAGTCCGGCAGTCGAGAACTCTCCCAAAATAGGCAACGTGCTGGCGGGAGTGGTGGGTGGTGTGCGTGCATACGAAACGGGGTAACGAACATCAATGTTGTCGACAATATTGTAGAAAATTCGTTCCATTCAATAACTTCTTTCAATTCATGCCCAGGTCATGAAGTTTCTCGTTTTATTTGTAAACGTCATTTTGTTTCCACCACCGTTACCAGAATGGAACAAATAAAACACAACTATAATACATCAAAAGAAGACGTCAAAGGTCAATGTCAAAAAGATTGTTTATTATTTATTATTGTTGAAAATTTAAAATAGTAGAAGAGTAGAACTGCTGGTTGCTTGTTCTTTCAGTAATAATTTAATTAATATGTGATTCATAAGAACAATATGCTTACTTCGTTACATGGTATCAAAACTTCTTCCGTATGCTTCATATTCAGTTTGATAATATTTTCAGTGATATCTAAAATCCTTTTTGATCATGTTTATGCAGTTTCCAAGTCAATTGTTGATGAGAAATTTCATATTCCTCTGGGAATGTCCTATTGTAAATTCAACTTTTATGAGGTTGGGAGTATTTTGTAGTCTATTATTCGAAGTATTTCAAAATATCACTTTTTTAGTGGGACCCAAAAGTAACTACACTTCCAGGTCTCTACATGATATCTTCTTTGATACTTGGGCCACTGAAACTATGTTCAACCTATTGGTTAAGGTTCACGTCACTTGGAGCATCTTTGGTGAATATGGTTCTCTTTTATGTACTTTTCAAAAAATATGAGAAGGTAAGTTGTATTTTTCAATTGTATGTTTTACAATGTTGAATTCAATTCCTATTGTAGAATGAGTGGAGCAATATACTTTCAGCTTTGACCATGGCACTTATCCCACCAGTATACTTTTTCAGCTTAGTATATTACACTGATATTGTGTCTCTCACCATGATTTTGGTCATGATTGTTGCATATGAGAAGAACTGTCACTTTCTTGCTTCCATATTTGGTAAGATCATATTCCTCAAGAGAAACCATATATGTGGCAACTGATTCTCCCTAATTCTAGGATTTGCCTCTGTTCTTTGTAGACAGAATAACATTATTTGGGTAGGGTTAGTAGGTGGCAGATATGTATTGACAAACTTACACTCCATCATAATGGAGAAATCTACCAGGAAGTATGTATCTGAAGGTACTGAAAGGATAGAAAGATTCACTCATACACAGGTACCTAGGAACTTAATTTATTTCAGTTGGTAGTTGAAATAACATTCTTCTTGCAGACTCCCTGGAGTTCAGTTATGCAGCTAGTATGTCAACCAAAAATGTTATTGGATTTACCTCTGAAGTTTTGGCTCAATACATCATCATATGGAGCAGTTTTACTATCTTTCATGATATTTCTGATAATAAATGGTAGTATTGTTGTAGGTGATAAAACAGCACATGAAGCAACAATTCATATACCACAACTATTTTACTTCTCTCTATTTTCTATGATATTTGCATGGCCTCATTTTGTGGGTGAAGTGATTAATTTCACAAAATTTGCTAGAAGACATAAACTCATGTTGATTATTTCTCTGTTACTTGGTATAATCATTGTACTTAAAAATACTATTGCTCATCCATACATGTTAGCAGATAACAGACACTATTCCTTTTATGTGTGGAACAGGTTTTATGGAAAATATGCTTTTTTTCGATTTGCCATGATTCCTGTTTATATTTTTGCATGGTATGTTATCATTAAAACATTATATAATAAAAATGATGCTACCTATATCTTACTATACCTACCATGTGTTATTGTTGTACTTATCACACAAAAATTGATTGATTTTCGGTATTATTTTGTACCATATATACTATTCAGATTGAGAGTAAAAAACAATACTAATTCTGTCTTCAATTTGACACTTGAATTTGTTACTTACTTGTTGGTGAATGCCATAACATTCAATCTATTTTTCACTAAAACTATAACTTGGCATGATTTTCCTGACCCACAAAGATTGATTTGGTAGATATCTTGTTCTAGCATTTATTTGTTATTTTTCTTGTTGCATTTTATTGTTACTGTAGAATGGTTATTTTTTAATAATAACTCAATTTATGTATGTACATTTTGTAGTTACCAATCCAGATGAAAGGAAATAGAAATGTTTTCTATATGTGATAATTGTGGTATTAAAGAAATTCAGAGAGTGACAGTTAAATGGTTTTGATATACAACCAAAATATTACTTTTGGTTTTCATACCTTCATGAAAATGTACCTACTCCAAATTGATTAAATATGAAGAAGTGTGATGTCTAGGGTTGTAAAAACTGTCCTATTGTGAAGACTGTTATGTAATAATAATCATCAAGTGATTTAAGTTTAATTCATATTACTTATTCAGACTATGAGAAATTGTATCAATAAAGTTTTTCAATGAATCAAATTTGTTGTTGATCATTTTTGGATATATATTCCATTGGTAAGATACAGTGCTTTTCTTTAATGTTCCCCCACCCCCTCTTATATTTTTTGAAGGAGTCCACTGAAAAAGTTAAAACTTGGGGTAATGAATTTGATGGATGGATATACCATATCAAAGAGGAACCTACTATTCTTAGACTATATTTTGGAGTGAGATTGACACATGGAAATTTCAAGATGACTGGGCGCCATCTTGGGAGAAAAAATCAAATGGGAAGGGGGTCTTATTGTGACACACTTTTTGAAGCCTTTTACAAAATGGCGGAACATTCAATAGTGGCCTGAATACAAACACCTTAATATGGATATTGTATTCAAACAAGATGGAGCATCACCATACTCCAGAAAAGTTGGAACCATTCGCCATCTTGAAATTTTCATCTGTCAATTTTACTTCAAAATATAGTATTCATGCATTCTTATCCGAAGTAAAATAAAAGCACTGTATATGCTACACACTACACATAGAAAACCTCTATGCTACATGAACAGAGTGCATTTAATAGTAATTTATGTATCAAGGGCGTAAAATAGGCTTTTATGGACCGCAGCGTGTAAGTAATAGACCGAGCGACAGCGAGGGCTATTAACACGCCTATAGGTCCATAAAAGCTAGTTACATACAACATTTTATGCACGACCTGTATATATTTGATATCTAATGTAGGTATCTCTTCACCCCTCAAGCACAATAAAAATAAAAATACATCACGGTTTCAGTGAGACTGTATTGTATCCATATCGCCACAGCCGTCTTCAAAGACGGCTGTGATATCGCAAATACAATTAATCAAGAAGTATGGAATCAACGTTACCATGGCAACTCAGTCAATTTTTCGAAATAGGAATTAATAGGCCAGTAGCCATATTAACTGTCAATTTGTGTAATCATACATAATTCATTAGTGTGTGAAATGAATTCTAGTGATGAAGAAAGTGTGAATTGTACTCCACCAGAAATTAGTGAGGCAGCTGAGGAAGCAAAATCGAGTTTATTGCCAAGTAAATAAAAAAAATATGGGACAAAGTATACAAAGAATTCGTAAGCGAAGAATTCGTAAGCTGGTGCGACAGAAATGATGTAAAAAATAAGAACCACACTGAAAGTGTGCTTCTTGCCTATTTTCTGGAAAAATCAAAATCTCCTAAGCCCTCTTCCATGTGGTCATATTATTCCATGTTGAAAGCTACTTCAAATGTACATGATAATAGAGATATTAGTCAATATGCAATATTGATAGCTTTTTTGAAAAGAAAATCTGACGCGGTTATAAACTAAAGAAATCGAAGATTCTAAGCAGAGAAGAAATAGTTATTCTTGAGTGAAGCACCAGACGATTCGTACCTTATGATGAAAGTAAGTACTATTTTCATGCTTTCTTAATGTCAAGTATGATAATTTGAAACTTTGTTGTAGGTAGCACTGATTTTTGGTATTTGTCAATGACCGCCGGGCGGTAGAGTAGTCCGCGGGCGGTAAAGTGCCACTTTACGCCCGCAAACCCGGGCGGTAAAGTGCTACTTTACGCCCGGTCGTGCATAAAAAAAGAAATGTAGTTACATCATATCTTCTATCAAAACAGTTAACTGTTTAGATATGGCACAAGTGTTGAACATATATAAGACTCCAAAAAATAGTTGACAGGTTGTTTCATGTCAGGTTTCTGTTCAAGGGCTGTTGTACTGTATGAACATTTCACTGAAGGAAATTCCAGAGTGAATGAGAGATTCAAATTAAAAATGGAATCAGGTGATGACACCCTGATGGTGTCAATGCACTCACTGATATGGGATACTTAATCAAAATTAAATATTTATTGTAGATTATAAAGTACAGGAGTTGGATTACAATCAAATGAAACACATTATCAGGAAAAAAATTATGGGTTGAAATCAGGATTTTTCCGTAAAATCACGAAACCTTCCATGATGGGTGTTAGAGCTAGATACTCTTCAGTGGCTAGTTCTGCACGTTCTCCATAAGCTAACAATACTGGAGTTGTGTGTGTCTGAAAACCTGTGATTGTTTTTGGTTTACCTGCTTGCCCAACTACATCAACAGCCTAGAAAAGAATTGAATAAAATATTTGACCTTGTAACACATGTAACAAAATGATATTGAGCATCTAGCTAATATATCAGCATTATTTAATCTGATATAGTCAATCAGATTTACATAACTTACCAATCCAACTCTTACAGGCACAGGAAGGGGGTTCAAGTCTGCATCAAATGTCACAAGCATTCTAGGTTGCATTGCTGCTGCTAGAGTGTACAGGAGATAATGTGATCTCCCAAGAATAACTGGAATAATAAAATGAGTATTATCATTCTGAACACTTTCAATTCATTAATTTCATAAAAATCGTAATGATAACCTACAAATTAGTTGTACTTCTGAATTGTTGGGTATATTTTAGTATTTCTTTAACAAGTCAATCATCCTTGACAGATCAATTCAAAATAGAGAAGTGAGACAACTATAGGGTCATAGGCTATCACATAGAAATGATGTTTATATTATATTTACTAATCAAAATCACTCAAAAGTTTCATCAAAAAAAGTTATCAGTTGATTTCATCATCAGGAATCATTCACATGGTGCCCTCTGTAACAAACTGTAGACTTATACATATTCTAATAGTCTCTGTATAAAATTATGCATCTGTGCCGATTTTGATAACAATTGATGAATATACAGTGAAATTATTCGGAAAAAACGAAAAAAAAACTACTTTATCCAAATATTTTATTTAGGCACATTCTGTCCTATTGCCATATTTTGAACAATCCGCCCTTAGTCTATGTCCCAATAGTTATGACTCACCCTCTGTATAATATTGTTGGTACATTTTTATTTGAATTTTGAAGAAAATAATCTATTAATCAGGTCTTGTAGGAAGAGCAAATATACAGATTTGTATATTATATTGAATTGAAGGAACATTATTTTTGTCATTATAGGACTTAATACATTTCTTCATAATTTTTTAGTACACAGATTTTCAAAAGGATGCTATTTTCATTTCAATATGATATTTAAATTTTTGCCTCAAACTTCTTCATGAGATCCATAACATAAAAAACAATTTTTTTCAAACCATGTGAAGATATTCTGGGTTAAAATAATATGTACAGGGATATTTTAACTTCATGCCCTTCTATTATAACAGGAAAAGGAAAAATGAAAATGCAAATTCGGCAGAGGTGATTTGAATATCTGTGTGTGAGGTATCTATTGTATTCAAACAATTTTCAATCCTTTTCAATTTTCAATATTTTTCCACAAAGTTACCATTTTTTTCCATAACAACATATGTTTTTAAACAACTTTCATCCAAACAGTTATTTTCAATGTTTATTTGGTTGAGAGCTATGGGACTCTGAAGTTGGTATTTTTAAATAAATCTCAACTGACCCCATCATAAATCAAGTATGACGGGTTTCAGTTTTAATTGTTTTAAAAAGGAATGCAAAATGTATCCCAAATGAAGATAGAAAAATACATTTTGAATGAAAGTTGTTCAAATATGTTCTTCCAGAATATGAGGAAAAAATGGTAACTTTGAGGAAAAAATATTTTTTCTGACGCTATTTCCGCCATTTTGAGTAAGGTTGAAATGTTTGAATACAAAAAAATATACCTTACATCCAGCTATTCAAATTCCCCCTGCCAAATTTGTATTTGCAGTTTTCCTGTTATGAGCCAAGGGTGGGAAGTATCTTCAATGAATCATAAAATAGAATGACTTACTATTTTTAACATCCAAAAATCCTACTAGGGTGGCCATCAACCCTGCTACAGCTACTGGACTCATCAGCTGCCTATCACTGTGGTAAGGACTCAAACTCAGTGTACCTTTTCCCAAATGAGTGAGTCCCTGAGCAATTCGAACCATGAACAAATTATTGGGGTCCTTGGCATGGAATTGAGCTAGCTGTCTCAACATAGCAGCTAACCTAGCATTGTTTGTACCAGCTCCTACAAGACCCATAGCAAAGATAGCATTGTGTGCTACTTCTGCATCACTGTCATGAGAGAATTTGCTCAGGGTATCCAGGATGCTCAGTTTAGGGTTAGATACTGATATGAGACCTAGAGCTAGAGGTACTGCACGACGAATAACCGGTTCACAATAGCGAAGAAGATGTCCAAAAGTTCTGAATGCCATTTCACTACCTATATCCTCACCCATGCTGATCAAAGCAATTCCTAAAACTGCAACAGCTTGTCTGGTAGAGAGATCTTTCTCTTTTTCCGTTTCTTTCTTATCTTTGTCTTTAGAGCTCTTGTCAGTGCTATCAGAACCTTCATAGTGCTCAGAGCAGATGTGTAAGAGATGCTGCACTTTCAGTACATTACCAGTCCCAGCATAAGCACAGATGTCAACCATAGTTGTGGCCATGGATCTAAATGGTTCAGGAATAACCTCTAAAGCAGCTATAATGGTATCAACACCCTCCTGTTTTCCCAGGTGGCACAACCCAAGACCCAAAGGCAAAAATCTGGCATAAGTGTCTTTGAGCTCAGTTTCTGATTTCTCCATCAGAGTCTGCATGATTGTGGTAGTGACTTGTGGGTTTCCAGAACCTACTGCTATCATACCACATGCCAGAGCTGACATTCCAATAACCTCCATGTTTGATTTGGGATCAGAAAATACTGGGGTTAGCAAACTGAGTACAGCTTCTCTGTTAGAGCCAACATAGGCTAACCCTAAGCCCACTATAGCACCTATCCTCATGATGTTTGTGTTATGCAGGACATAGTCACTCAACAATGCTAGTGCTGGGTCACATTCATTTCTGACACCACAGTTTACTATACCACAAGCTAGCAATGCACCTGACTTGATATGGTCCTCTGAAGAGTACAAGTATTTGTCAATAGGAGTGAGACCACCATCTACATCCCACAGAAGCACCAGACCAAGAGATGCTGTGGCACTAAGCATACCATGTTCTTTGTTCTTGTACAGCCACTTATTACCATCTTCCATCAACAGCTTGTCCTGCCCAAAGGCAGCATTGACAAAGCCATTCACAAAACTGGCAGCCAAATTCTGCCTAGCAGAATCAACTTGACTTCCTCCAAATGGAGGACGGCTATTTTCTAAATGGGATTTGTAGACATCTTCAGGTGTCTTGGGTTCCATGATGTCCAGTTCCCTGGCTAGGTTTAGGAAATGGTTGTTCAAGTGACAGTTTGCCATTATTTCAATCAAATCTTCATATTCTGGGGTGGTCTCAGGGATTTCAATATAGATTTGTTGGCGGCCAAGCATAAAAGCAAGCTGTTTTTGGACAGCCCTGAAATAAAACATTAAACATGCATACCATTGATTTAAACATTTTCAAACTCTTCTCATTCTATTCTGACTCCTAAATCCTGTGTTGGAAGAGCAATAAAAGTTGAATGAAAAATTTGTAGTCATCTATATTCTTTCCAAATACTACCATAGATCACTAAAAGAATGAACATGAGTTTTCTTTAAATTGAACACCCTAATATGTTCAGATTTTTATTTATTTCTTCTGAATTCAAATAAATAGGGATTAATGAGACAATATGACATATTGGATATGAAATCCTGAGGGAAGTCCTAAAACTTTTGTATACTAATATTTTATTAGCTCTTTCAACAATAGAGCTAGAAGTCAAAATCCTGAACATGGTATTTAAATAAAATGTCTTGGAAAATGTAGAAGAAACCCTACAACCATTTCAAGGGCTTTTCAAATTATCAACTAGTCTTCCTTACAGTGAAGCACCTAGATGAGCCAAAATTATTAGGTTATTTCAATTTTGGGTATTTGAACATGCAGAATATAAAAACAAACTATCTGAACAATTTGGATATATAACTATTATTATATTACCATCAAATAAAAAAGGGTAAAAAAAAGTAGAAGAGAATAACTTACGTATCTGGACAAGATGTGAAGATTTCTTCTATAAGACTGTGATCATTCAATTGCATTGCCAATCTCAAAGCCTGGGGATACTGTTTGAATTTCCTGAACAATAACAGAGCAGTCTGGAGTAGAGTAGTATTTTCTGGATCTGCCACATATGCTACACAGCTAGCAACATACAAGTCAATTAAAAATTAACATGAGTTCAAACATAAAGAACAAAAATATGTATACCTAGTTAGATACAGACAAACTCTTTGGTAAATATTATCATCTACATATTGTTCAAGAAGGTCCAGCCTTTCAATTTCCATCAATAAATCACAGGCTTCAGCTTCTGCATTATGTGCCATATTATAAGGAACAATTTGTTTTGTAAGAAGAATCAACTTGTCCCTTATCTCTGTGTTGACAATAAAATCTGTCTCAGCCCATTCCCCAGCAATTTCACCAGCCAAATGCCTAAAATAAAAACATGCTAATATCACATACTCACATACACAAAATGTATAGCATATCTATCTTTATCAACTCACCTGACATATTCATGTCCCCATTCCCCAATTTTGTCCAAATCACATAACAAGCGATATTTGAGACATTCTCTGCCTTCTCCCATAGTCATAGCTAGTACAGAAACTATATCAGCACAAACTCTCTTCACATTTGGATCTGTAATTTTTTCATAGACCTCCTTCATTGGATCATAATGTGGTTTCATGAATTTCAGTGGTTTTGGTACAGAAGTCATTGAGGTTGTTGAGGCCCTAATGTGATTACCTAGAGCCTGTAAAGCAGGTAGGTAGAGTCTTTCATCACTCTCTTGTAATTTCTCCACACAGAGATTGAGCTCTTCTTGCAGTTGTTTGTCTTCATCGGACTAAAAAGTATAAAAGTCGACTGTATTGACTCAACAATTTTACAAACAGATGAAAGTTCATCTTCATTATGATTTCAGGTCAAGAAATATTTCATGAACTCACCAATTCAGTTTTGTTTTTATCATCAGTGGATTTCAATTCCACTTTGGTGGATTCTGCTTTTGGTTCACCGCTCATTCTTCAGCTTTATCAACTCAACAGGAACGAATTATAAATACCGATTTTATAAACAATGTCCCGATAATGATAGTTTGACTGGAGTTCAAAGGAATTATGATTTTAGAAACAAAAAACCACAATCGTTTTCCTCAAAAAGTTGCAATTTGCTCCGTCATGATAAGATACATTTTTGATATTTTATAGGTTAACGTCAATAATGTCATGCGTCATGCGTCAATAATTTACAGGCCCTTTCTTTTGTACGAAAAGTGTAGGACATTCGTACACTTCGTGTAATTTACACCGCATTTGACTCATTTGAGCAACATAAACAATATTTCATCCTTGGAACAATCAGAAGAACTGCAAGAACTTCTGAAACTGAAGGCAAGGACTCCAATAACACTTTTAATACATCATTTTCCATTTTACATTAGTTTCCGTCAATTCTGAACTTCTAATTGAATTCAATCTAAATCCCCATCGAATCACGAGTTCAAAAATTAATGAAGGAAAAAACAGTTGTGATTGTCATGTCAAATAGCTGCATTTTTATCAAAACTGATGACTCCAACAATTCGATGCATCAGAGAGTGACGTCACTTCCATCTTCCAACAATGATGAAAATGTGGTGTAAAAGAGCGTAAAAGAGAAACCAACAGATGCATTGTTTCTGCTTCTGCACTGAGCGTGTATCCTTCCTGCTACGTTGAACAAAATTTCTTTAAAATCGGATAATTTCGGGAATCTTGGGTCCGGCAACGGCGGCAACATTGGACAGATGGCTGATAGCTGAAGTTCAAGGAAGATGTTGTTGGTGTTGAATTGAGAAAAGAGAATTATAAATAAGGAGATTCTTAAATGAACATTTCAATTAAATAGGGTCATAACTAGAGGGAATTGAAAAACATGGACATTTTCGAAAAGACCTAAAGAACCGGATGATAAATGCACTAATGAAACTGCCTAATGCAGGAAGTAGATATCCTTTAGGACAAATTTGGTTAACATTTTTGATGGAGTGAGTTTGGATGTATATAAGTATATATTCAATTAGGTATTGCATGTACTCTCTATTCACATCTATATTTCTCCAGAGAATTTAGTATTGGTGCATCCTCAAGTAAAATAATGATGATACTAATAATTGTGAACTGATCCATGTATGGAGGTATAATCAAATCACCAAATCTACTAATGTTTTATCCTATTTTCAAAAATTTTTGTATGCTGTTTTCAAGAACAAGGGGGAAGTCGTTCCCCCAGGCTTAGTAATTAATATGGTCACAATGAACTCTGAAAAGGCTGCTACCAAGCGCAAGCCAGAATCTAACAATGGGGGCTGCACAAAACTGAACAATGAGGAACCTGTTAACTTACAGTCTGCAGGTACTACTGAAGAATCACCAAACCATCTTTTGTACAAAAAGGTGAATTACACAAATATTCCTCAAAACAACATCAGCTTATCAACTTTTTTTCAGATGGAAAAAATTGTTGAGAAAATGCAAGATGAAACCACAGGTGTGCCAGTCCGCACAGTTAAGAGCTTCATGTCAAAAATACCATCAGTCTTTACTGGTTCAGATTTGATAATGTGGATGATGAAAAACTTGGATGTAGAAGATCAGCAGGAAGCATTACATTTGGCTCATTTAATAGCATCACATGGATATTTCTTTCCAATTGATGATCATATGCTCACTGTCAAAAATGATAGCACATTTTATAGATTTCAAACTCCTTACTTTTGGCCATCAAACTGCTGGGAACCTGAGAATACTGATTATGGTATTTTTGTCCTTGAAAATGTGTCATCCCATAATATATATACCTTTTTATTTTCAGCTGTGTATCTTTGTAAGAGGACTATGCAGAACAAGACACGTTTAGAACTTGCTGATTATGAGGCTGAAAATTTGGCAAGGTTGCAAAAGATGTTTTCCAGAAAGTGGGAGTTTATTTTTATGCAGGCTGAGGCACAAAGCAAAGTTGATAAAAAAAGAGATAAGTTGGAAAGGAAAGTTCTTGATAGTCAAGAAAGAGCATTTTGGGATGTTCATAGACCAATGGTAAGTCCCTGATCTAAAATCATGTTGGGCACTTTATAAGTGCTAAATGGATGTAAGTCACAAGGTACCACTTGGAATAACATTTTATTTTAGTACTGAGTAGGATTAATGGGCCTGTTTCAGAGAAAATTTGTGTTTCACTATTTTGAAGTACTCACCAAACTTTTACACTATTGCAAACTGTTTTCTCCTCAGAGCTCTGCATGTTTTTTAAATAATTATTGGAAATCTCCATATTTCATGGCATGAAAAACGGGAGGAAACTTGTGATGTCATATTCCAATTACCATGAAGTTACCCACAGATTTACAGCCACACATGCTGACATAGAGGAAAATGAAAATCTGTGGATGGGATGCATGATTATTAGCACCCTGACTAAATTCTGTGGCTAGAAAATCAGAACTCGATGACGTGCGTTCATGAAAATCATACATTTCATATAGAATTTGGAATAAATGAACATGGTGAAATTCGATTTCTTGTCATCTCCACATTTCAAGGAAATGGATTTTGAAAAAATCAACATGCATTTCTTTCACTCCTAGTATAATCAGAATCCGATGATGAGCGTTCATGAAAATAATATATAACATAGGGAATATAGAGTGGATTGAAGTGGTGAAAATCTTTTTCTTGTCACCCCCACAAATTTCCAGAAAATGGATTATGAAAAAATCAACATGCATTTCTTTCACCCCTTGTATAATCAGAACCCGATGATGTGCGTTCATAAAAATGAGATATTCCATATAAAAAACATAGTAGATTAGCAAGGTGAGGATCTTCTTCTTGTCACCCCCACAAATTTCGAGAAAATGGATTTTGAAAAAATCAACATGCATTTCTTTCACCCCTTGTATAATCAGAACCCGATGATGTGCGTTCATAAAAATGAGACAATCCATATAGAAAACATAGTAGATTAACATGGTGAGGATATTTTTCTTGTCACCCCCACAAATTTCGAGAAAATGGATTTTGAAAAAATCAACATGCATGTCTTTCACCCCTCGTATAATCAGAACCCGATGATGTGCGTTCATGAAAATGATACATTCCATATAGAAAACATAGTAGATTAACATGGTGAGAATCTTTTTCTTGTCACCCCCACAAATTTCGAGAAAATGGATTTTGAAAAAATCAACATGCATGTCTTTCACCCCTCGTATAATCAGAACCCGATGATGTGCGTTCATGAAAATGATACATTCCATATAGAAAACATAGTAGATTAACATGGTGAGAATCTTTTTCTTGTCACCCCCACAGATTTCGAGAAAATGGATTTTGAAAAAATCAACATGCATTTCTTTCACCCCTTGTATAATCAGAACCTGATGATGTGCGTTCATGAAAATAATACATAACATAGAGAATATAGAGTAGATTGAAGGGGTGAAAATCTTTTTCTTGTCACCCCCACAGATTTCGAGAAAATGGATTTTGAAAAAATCAACATGCATGTCTTTCACCCCTCGTATAATCAGAACCCGATGATGTGCGTTCATGAAAATAATATATAACATAGAGAATATAGAGTAGATTGAAGTGGTGAAAATCTTTTTCTTGTCACCCCCACAAATTTCCAGAAAATGGATTATGAAAAAATCAACATGCATTTCTTTCACCCCTTGTATAATCAGAACCCGATGATGTGCGTTCATAAAAATGAGACATTCCATATAAAAAACATAGTAGATCAACAAGGTGAGGATCTTTTTCTTGTCACCCCCACAAATTTCGAGAAAATGGATTTTGAAAAAATCAACATGCATTTCTTTCACCCCTTGTATAATCAGAACCCGATGATGTGCGTTCATAAAAATGAGACAATCCATATAGAAAACAAAGTAGATTAACGTGGTGAGAATATTTTTCTTGTCACCCCCACAAATTTCGAGAAAATGGATTTTGAAAAAATCAACATGCATGTCTTTCACCCCTCGTATAATCAGAACCCGATGATGTGCGTTCATGAAAATGATACATTTCATATAGAAAACATAGTAGATTAACATGGTGAGAATCTTTTTCTCGTCACCCCCACAGATTTCGAGAAAATGGATTTTGAAAAAATCAACATGCATTTCTTTCACCCCTTGTATAATCAGAACCTGATGATGTGCGTTCATGAAAATAATACATAACATAGAGAATATAGAGTTGATTGAAGGGGTGACAATCTATTTCTTGTCACCCCCACAGATTTCGAGAAAATGGATTTTGCAAAAATCAACATGCATTTCTTTCACCCCTTGTATAATCAGAACCCGATGATGTGCGTTCATAAAAATGATACATCCTATATAGAAAACATAGTAGATTGAGATGTTGAGAATCTTTTTCTTGTCACCCTCACAGATTTCGAGAAAATGTATTTTGAAAAAATCAACATGCATTTCTTTCACCCCTTGTATAATCAGAACCCGATGATGTGCGTTCATAAAAATGAGACGTTCCATATAGAAAACATAGTAGATCAACAAGGTGAGGATCTTTTTCTTGTCACCCCCACAAATTTCGAGAAAATGGATTTTGAAAAAATCAACATGCATTTCTTTCACCCCTTGTATAATCAGAACCCGATGATGTGCGTTCATAAAAATGAGACAATCCATATAGAAAACAAAGTAGATTAACGTGGTGAGAATATTTTTCTTGTCACCCCCACAAATTTCGAGAAAATGGATTCTGAAAAAATCAACATGCATGTCTTTCACCCCTCGTATAATCAGAACCCGATGATGTGCGTTCATGAAAATGATACATTTCATATAGAAAACATAGTAGATTAACATGGTGAGAATCTTTTTCTCGTCACCCCCACAGATTTCGAGAAAATGGATTTTGAAAAAATCAACATGCATTTCTTTCACCCCTTGTATAATCAGAACCTGATGATGTGCGTTCATGAAAATAATACATAACATAGAGAATATAGAGTAGATTGAAGGGGTGACAATCTATTTCTTGTCACCCCCACAGATTTCGAGAAAATGGATTTTGCAAAAATCAACATGCATTTCTTTCACCCCTTGTATAATCAGAACCCGATGATGTGCGTTCATAAAAATGATACATCCTATATAGAAAACATAGTAGATTGAGATGTTGAGAATCTTTTTCTTGTCACCCTCACAGATTTCGAGAAAATGTATTTTGAAAAAATCAACATGCATTTCTTTCACCCCTTGTATAATCAGAACCCGATGATGTGCGTTCATAAAAATGATACATCCTATATAGAAAACATAGTAGATTGAGATGTTGAGAATCTTTTTCTTGTCACCCTCACAGATTTCGAGAAAATGTATTTTGAAAAAATCAACATGCATTTCTTTCACCCCTTGTATAATCAGAACCCGATGATGTGCGTTCACAAAAATGGGACATTCCATATAGAAAACATAGTAGATTAACAAGGTGAGGATCTTTTTCTTGTCACCCTCACAAATTTCGAGAAAATGGATTTTGAAAAAATCAACATGCATGTCTTTCACCCCTCGTATAATCAGAACCTAATGATGTGCGTTCATGAAAATAATACAGATTATAAAAAATTTGGAGTTGATCATTTTAGTGAAAACTCTTCCGTTGTCACCCATTCATATTTCTAGATATTGATTTTTGAAATGAATCACCTTTAATTCTCAAATCCCTTGATAAATAAGAACCCGATGATGTGTGTTTACCGGTGAAAATGATTGAATATTAATAAATGTATATATTATGATCCACTCGATCAGAAAGTGAAAGATAAACGAAAATTTTATTGAATATTTAAATAGCAACAATGTGAAAATAAATTATAATTCTAACATTTTGAATGTGTGGTAATTCTCTGTCAATACTGATCTCGTTATCGTGTAAAGGTAGCTGAATATCTATTTCGATTTTCTCGATATCCATATTTGTTATATGTAGTGGATAATTATATTATGCTTCAAATCAACATGTTTTCTGGCATTATACTTTGACTCAAGACGCCCTCTCAAAGGGTCTTTGAGTTCTTAGTTAGTTCACCAACATGTAGGAATTAGCGGCAGACAATTGGAATCCAGACAACTGAAGTCTTTTTCGTGACCTATCACTTCGGGGTCCATAATTCAGTCAATATTCCAACTACAGATGATGCAATCATAATATATCTTCTACACTAATGCGGGATCAGTAACACAATCTCACTATTCTAGACAACAAAAAAACATATCGACAAAGAACTACAAACCTGATGAAAATATGAAATAATAAATTACATTACATTCAGCAAAGAAAAAACAGAAAATACAATAGTGATGAAGTTGGCGTACCTATCTATACCTTAATAAAATATTTTTGCGAAATGAAGTTAACTACAGAAATGTCACTTCATCATATTATGTTCATGTGACACATTCATATTATATGAAAATCAGTTTCGCAAAAAAGTTAAAAATCCTAATAATATAGTCTAAATAAAAACATTATGACAAGTATCAACCAGGTACTCATAAAAAGGCAAATATCACTCGTATTTCAATAACCAGTCTACATGGTAAAAAAATCACAGATATGTAAATATTTTCATAGTTTCCTTTTTCAGAATTTCATATGAAATCTGTCAAAAACTATAAAAATCAGTCTTACAACAACAAAAAATTCTAACTGCAATCTCAATATAGGTACAGGGTTATGATAAAGTAATGCACAAAATTCATAAAACGTACAACGATCACTTTTGAAAAAAATGCAAACACACGTCAAACTGTTTTTTTTATTCCGCATCTTTTGACATGTTACAAAAATAACACGTCAAAGTTGTCAAAGTTATGACGTCATCAACAATTTTTTTAATGGGAAGCTAAGATTTTTATTACATTATGTGATAGAGCTTGCAACTATTCTTCCCTTTTGAAAAAACACAAGCTCTATAACATAATGTAATAAAAATCTTAGCTTCCCATTGAAAAAATGTGTTGATGACGTCATAACTTTGACAACTGCGACGTGTTATT